CCAAACCATCTGGTGATGCCGGATTCAGAGTGAACACCAGTGAAATGATCCTGAAACCAAACACTGGCTTTTGTAGGCTGCTGAAAGATGCGCTGGGGATCCATCTTGGGATCGAGGGGTGCCGCCTTCGTTGGTGTGAGAGTTGACTGCTTCTGTCGCTTGGCGCCCAGAAGGGAGCGTCCCGGAAAATGCATACCTGTGGTGGATGACGATGCTGGGGAAGCATGTAACGCGTTGGTATCTTGTTCTGCAACTGTTGTTGTGGAAGGGGAGAGGCTACCAGTGGTAAGTCTGGTGTCGTTGTGTGTAGCGTCATCTATGGTAGCTCGTTTTTGTCCACGAGTGGTTGTGGTGGGGGAAATCTCAATTGTGGAAATTGAGTCAGGTGGTGGAGAGGGCGTGTTGATAGGAGTGCTAGGTGCTGTGGCTCGTTTTGGTTTCTTTGGTGCTGGTGTGCTGGGTGCCTCAGTGTTTGCATCCGGAGCACGGAGAGCTTCGATTGTCTCCAGTGCTGTTGAAAGTCGTGCTTCCAGGTCACTGATGCGGTGTGCAGCCAGAGTGTCTGCTTCTGTCGGCTGCGAAGATTGAAGTGGAAGATGAGGTTGTGATTTGCTGGATTGTGGTGGTGTTGGAGATTCGGTGGGTTGCGATTGTGTGTTGTCTGTGTCTGATTTGGCATCTTGCTTGTCCTTTTTGTTGCCGTCATTGTACTGGTCCTGCAGCTCTTGCAGGTATAAAACCAATTCCTTGATGAGGTGTGACATTGCTGGCCGTTTTGCGAGTGTGAGCTTCTCTTGCCAGCAGAATGCGGTGGCTGCTTGGTCCAGATCAATTCTCCGTGCTCGGAGTTGACCCATAAGTTCAGTGGTAAAGACGGCTTCGCTGATATGTTTGCTGCATGTGAGATGGATGTCGAAGCCGTGTGCGGCGTAACGTAGCCAGTATGATGACCAATTGTGTCTTAGAAATGCGACCAATGGTGCTGTTGCGATCGGCATGCCTGCCGTGCGGTTGTGCACTGAATGTGGTGTAGATTGAATGTGTTTGGGTAGGTTGAGGCCGTAAAGCTGTCTGTTGTCCCAATGCTCTGGTGTTTGAACGAAGTCGTTTGGTATCTGGGGATTTGCAGGCGTGAGATTGGTGTGTTGTTGTTGTTGGGGTGTGACGGTGGCCTGAGGCAATGTATGTGAAGAAATGCTGGGGTTTTGAGTCGTCATCGGAGATGGACTCACAAATGTGTGTTGGGGAGTGGCAGGTGTGGGTGTTGGCAGTGTGGTGGGTGAAGCTGGGACGGTAAACTGCTGGGGTGGGGGAGGGGGTGGAGGGAAAGGGGGGAAAGTGGTGTTGTGGCTGTAAGGGTGAGCTGAACCCCAAGTAGTTGGGGTCATGGGTGAGGTGTGGGGTGGGATGTTGTGGATCCCTGGTGGTGGGGAAATCGGGTGCATTGGGGTGCTGCTGGTTGAGGCTGTTTGTCGCTGCACCGCACTGATTGCTGTACCGATGATGCCTGTTGGCATTGTTGTATGCCACTGAGGCTGTGTCGGCTTGTACATGGTTGCAAAATGGGGCACTACAATTGCCTGTGACTGCAAAAGCTGCAAATAGCACGTGCATGGACAACATAGTTGGCTTGAGTGTCAGCATCTACTTGTGCAATGCATCCAGCATGCAGCTGCATCGTCTCTTCTTTGGCTCAAAAGCGGGGTCGGAGCAAATGCTTGATTGCATACAGCTATGTGCAACGGGATTCAGGCCTGGAAGAGAAAGGATACTCGAGAGTGAAAGGTAGACACGGAAGAAGAAAGAAAGTAATACAGAACATCACTGAATAAGGCCGAATCCAACGATGCTGAAATGCCCCGAGTGGAATCCCCACTTCTCTGGGGTCCGCACAACACCCTTTCGCCCCACGATGAAGGCCTCTCTATACATGTCCCGATACGTCATCTTGTAATGCTGATACTTAGTCCGTATTGTCCCGATGACGATCACTCCCTGTTGGCCCTTCGGCCGCCGTGTACATTGATCGGTTACTATATGTACCGTGCTTTCCGATACATCTCCTGGGGTCGCATTCCCGTATATGACGCAAGAGGGAATGGGTGGGTAGGACTTGTCGTCGAAGCAGTGTCTGACTGAACTTGGGCGGACCAAGTCCTCGCGCATAATGCGCGCGGCACTTGCAATGCTCGTGCCGTGTCCGGCGGTGTAGATGTATGTCTCTCCTGGTGGGTCAGTGGCACGGGTGCCGAACGCTCTGCGCTGCTCTCCAGCCCAAGGAATGAATAACATAGTATGCACGCCGTCCGATATTGGCGTCAGCACTGCCCCAAGTTCGTTGCACGCTGATCGCGTGCCTGATTGTAGCACTGCATGTGCAAATTCGGCTAAAGTCTCCTGCCTGAAATCGCTGTCAGCAGCTATCTCGCCCAAAGTTTTGGCGAGTTTGTGTGCTTCTTCCATGTCGACGGCGTGAGGGGTCGGCTTCTCATGTTCGTAAAGCTCAGAAAATGGCGCCACATCAATCTGTGGTGGTCTGCTCTGTTTGCCCAGTTGTTCGAGGGTTGGCTGACCCGATGGGGCAACGGCTGTTGATGCATCGTAGGTCGGGGCAGGTGTCCGAACGGAGCTGGAGGGATTGTGCTGAGCCTGTTGGCGGGAGGAGGTGCCCTGTCCGGCTGGGGGCTGCTGTTGTGCTGCTTGGCTGCCCTTGATGCGGAGGGCGATTCGCTGAACCTGCGAGGCCAATGTCCTTTGTGGGACCTTGGGTGGGGTGGGTGGCCTCTGACGTAGCTGTGTGGCTCTGTAATGCCACTTGTTGGTATCAACATCACGCACTGTAGAATAGCTGCGGAGCACAACCGAGGTCCGCGGAGGTGTCGACGAAGATCGCCTGGTGTCCCTGCGAGAACGACTTCTGCGGGTGTCGCGGGATCGGTGGTGTCTGCGTCGGCGGTGCTGTCTCCCGCTGCTGGCAGGTCGTGCTCTGCTGCGTGTGCGTCGTCGGCGTCTAGTGCTCACGGTGCGGGTTCTGCTGCGTGTGGGTGAGTGCCGTCTCCTGCGTGGCAACGGAGGATGGTGGGAAGAAGCACGTGCTGCGAGCGGGTCAGTGTCTCCCGATCCCGTAGCGGGTGGTGGTTGTGTGGGTGGTAATGTGCTGACAGAGGGTGTGTTGGCTGTGCTTATTGGCTGGGGTTGGGGGGTGATTGCCGGTGTCTGTGGGGCAATGTGTGCAGCATCGGTAGTGGTAACATTGGTGGGGTGAGATTGTGAAGCTTGTTGGAGGGTCGTTGGCTGCGGTATATGGGATTGTTGAGCGGGTTGTGTGGAAGGGATGCTGCAAGGTGCAGGTTGGGGTTGTGGAGCAGGTGGTGTGAAAGGAATGTTGTATGTGGCAGGCTGGGAGTGATGCGGTGTCAGAGGTGATGGGCTCGTGGGAAAAACTGTTGTATGGGTAGGCAAAGGACCAGGGTTCAAGAAAGTGGGGGGATGTTGCGACATGAATTGCTGGGGTGGAGGTTGTTGTGGCATCTGGGGCTGTGGTGTGCTGAGTTGTGTGTATACCATCGGATGCTGTGGTATAGGAGCAGTGTGTCCACATGGCATCATGGGGAAGCTGTGTGTCTGCTCAACGGGGATCGTAGTGGGTTGCGTCGGCAGTGTGTGCTGCTGAGTGGCAGCAATGCCAGTTGGCATCATTGCTGGGTATCCTTGTGACTGCGGTACCCAGGTGTTCGGGTGAAACTGATTGAGCACCGGTCGGGTTGTTGGTGCGTATGGTGTTGCTGGTGGCTGCGTGGTAAAATAATCCGGCCACATAGCTGCAACGAAGTTGGTGAAACAAACACAGTTGCACAAGCAAAGTGCAGGCTGTCCTGGTTGTCCCTGCTGGACGGACTTGAGATGTCGAAGACGGAGATAAAGAAAGAAGAAGGCCGATTACTTCCCGGAGGAAGCGCTGCTTCACTTGCGTTAGACACATGTTACCACGCCTGCCCTCATGTCAGTTGCACATGCCCTTGCAGTCCCTGAGAAATAAAGAAGCGGTCGAATAGAGGACAGACTAGCGAGGTAGCACCTGCTCACTAGACGCACTTTACTGCATTAGCCGTCCATTACTGCACCTGCACTCATGTCGGACGCACATGCGAGCATCAGAGAGAGAGAGATAAAATAGCATCGGGAGAATCTGAACGATCTGAACGAAGGCTGAACACCCGGTTCATCACCGGTCTCCCCGGAGGGTCACCACGGCGCCATGACGGAAAGCCGTTGCTCTGGAGTCTCAACGACCCACGCTGATCACACTGATGGATTCGGCCAAGAGTACGAGTGCAAGAGGAAAAAGAGAGGCATGTTGTTGCAAAAGCTTGTCAGATTGCGGCAAACGTGCAAAGCTTTATGCTCAAGCAAAAGGTGGAAACCGTAAATGCACTAATCTTGCTGCCTCAGGGGGCCAGCGTTTTCTAATCTGGCTGCCTCAGGGGGCCCAGCTTGCAGGTACACAGTTCAGCGTCCTGAACTGCTTCCCACTCCATGGCATAGCTTCGTTGCATTGGGTCTGCCAAGGAGTGCCCAATGCCCCTGCAACAGTTGATTTGGTTAGTGTCCAATGTCTGATTATGTTGAAAAGCAAAAATTGCAAACAGTGTAGGAGTGACCCTCTGCTCCCATGTGCTAGGGAGGTTCACACACACACACACACACACACACACACACGCACACACACACACACACACACCGGTAGCAGGCAAGCATGCACAAAATAAATGCACAAAATAACATAAGCAGCAATTCACGCAAACTCCTGCAAACACCTTTGATCACCTTGGACATAAATCATGCGGCTGCACTCACGCTCCACTACAGAATACTTTTCATTGACGACGTACGCTGAAGTACGCAGATGTAGGGATTAACCCATCACACAGCTGCTTGCTGTGACCTCACTGTTTCTTGAAGCCCAGACCCCCCTGTCACTTATCTTCACCCCGTGGCGCCTGTGTGCCCACGGCCATGAGCCCCGGCTCTTCCCCATCCGGGACTTCAACGCCTAGGGCTGGGCCACGATTTTTCCCGGTTGGGGTCCCCGAGTCGGATCTCCGAAGGGCCTTCGGCCCAAGGAGCCACGTCGATGCAGGTGACCGGGCTTGCGTCCTCGAGGTGGACCCACCGAAGCACCTGACAACGCCACCCGCTCCGACTCGCCTCTTTTTTCGAGCTGGCCGTACTCTGACGAGCTGCTGAGAAATCGTTCTCGGTGCTGAAAATGATGACCTTGGGGCAGAGGTTTCACAAAGCCAACCGCTACCTTCCACGGGACTTGGTGAGCCTTTCTTGGACTCTTCCTGACGTTGAAGGCTGTCCAGGCTCCCGGGCGCGGCCCTCGACCGTTCCCACGTAGACCCGGCGCTGCTCCTGGGCAAGAGCTCAACTGGAACTCTCCCTCCGTGCCATGTGCATTCCGTTCTCTTCAATCCTCCATCCTCCTGTTTACTTCTGTTGCAATATGGGTGGTGTCAAAATTAGGGTCCCTTTGTAAGTGCCTATTACAATACGGCACCTATTATTAGGGCACCCAAAAAGGCATCTTAATTTTGACAACTACCCATATATCTGCCTCCACCGGCAGTACGCAGGTGATGCCGCTGCTGAGGCCACGCTGTAGGTCCTTTCATGCCAACACGTGCAAAGCATTGTCCTCCTCACAGTCCACCAAACTAAAGCACGGCCCACTAGTGCAGCTTGATTCGCTTTAACTTCTAACCTTCACAGTGCGAACGACATGACTTCCCAACAAGATGTACCCGAGGAAAAACAAGCAGCCTTGCTGTTGGTTCCTTGTTGAAAGTGCAAAGAGTGTAACTTTCTGCGAATTGAAAATATGTGCTCCAGAGCTTCTGCTTAGGCGCTTCTGTTCTAGAGCGTACTGTGCTTGTTTCGCAACCAGTAAATCGAATGCAGCGTCGGAACAAATGCAAACCGACATCTGCAGCTGCTCCCCTGCAATTCCCATGCAAGGTGCCTCTGCCGTCGGCGAGTTCTGCGGCAAACCTTGAGATGCGGCACGGGCATGTGCGAAGTGCAGATACAAGTTGTGGCTTGATGCTGGCCCTAGACACCTGCTACCTGAATTTCAGAGCTCGGCAGAACTTTCCGAATCCGAAGTATTCAGATCTTCTGGGTACCCAGCCGCTACTTCGCTTGGCTGCAGGTGCCAGGGCCTCTGCTGCAGGGCCTGCGCCTGACAGGCAGCGACTAATTCAGAGACATGTCTGCATAGCTACGCATTTGCGTGGCCTGAAAGACTCTGTACGGCAGCTGGCCTTGACCCTCTGGAAGCGCAGCTGGAGCAGCGCTTCCTCGAGCATATGGCAGGGACTGAGATGAAACAGAGGCGACTACAGGCGCAAGGCACAAGACATCAGGTGAACGGTCAATGGAATTGGCTTTCTGCGGTTGCTGCAACTTCTAGCTGCGGCTAGCTGTCCTCTTGGGGCGTTGGCACCGCGACCTTGGCATGGTGGCTCGGTGCCGAGAGGACGCTGCGGAGTTGCGCTCCATCCAAGCCCTTTCTACTGCGGCAACAGGATCACGCGACTCGTGCCCTGTGGCACAAGGGCTAAGGCCCGCAACGTTGGCAGGCTAAGAACTCGCGTGCTGGTGTGCTGGCGACTGAAGGCACAACTGCCTTCGTCAACACACTTGTTTGCTTCCGCCTTCCTTGGAAATGCTCTTCAAGATAGATTCCGGAGCTTACAAGCGACTCATTGCCTGAAAGTCTTCACGATTGCAAACAGTTCCGACTGAGGCTGCTCCTTCAAGCTGCCGCTACCTGTCGACCCCAGATGAGAAGTGCAGACGCTGGTCGCTTATTCTCACTGGGCAGAGAGTTGGCTCTGCTCATCCTGCATCATCACCTGCATCCGGCAGCCAGAAGCAGAGATGATACTGAGAACCGTGCTGACTCACTAGGGGTACTTTCACCACTTCGCAATTGGACCCTATTCGAGCGAGGCTTTTCCACTCCAGCCTTCCTCAGTAGAGCTTTCAGACTCGGCCTCCTGTGGGGAAGGCGTGTGAATACCGAGTCGACACATCAAGCGGCGCAAGCCCAAATACCTCTGTCGCGCCTACCGCTGTTCTGGTTGCTGCTGCTACTGCCACTGATCTTAGTCCTCTTACTCGCACTACTACTACTACTACTACTACTACTACTACTACTACTACTACTACTACTACTACTACTACTACTACTACTACTACTACTTCTACTTCTTCTTCTACGACTACGACTACGACTACGACTACGACTACTACTATTGCTACTACTACCACTACTACTACTACTACTACTACTACTACTACTACTACTACTACTACTACTACTACTACTACTACTACTACTACTACTACTACTACTACTACTACTACTACTACTACTACTACTACTACTACTACTACTACTACTACTACTTATACTACTACTTATACTACTACTACTACTACTACTACTACTACTACTACTACTACTACTACTACTACTACTACTACTACTACTACTACTACTACTACTACTACTACTACTACTGCTACTACTACTACCACTACTACGGCTGCTCTACCACTGCAAATACTATCTATTGCCAGCCCTTGTACTACGGAAACACTTGTGCTAGGGTAGTACTGATACTAGCAAAAGTACCAGTACCAAGTTCCAGTTCTGGTTTCTAGATCTACTGCGACTGCTGCTGCTGCTGCTGCTACTACTACTACTACTACTGCTACTGCTACTGCTACTGCTACTGCTACTGCTACTGCTACTGCTACTGCTACTTCTACTGCTACTGCTCCTGCTGCTGCTGCTGCTGCTGCTACTGCTACTGCTACTACCACTACCACTACCACTACCACTACCACTACGACGACTACTACTACTTCCTGATACTTCTGCTACTTCTGCTACTTCTGCTACTACTTGCTGCTCCTGCTGCTCCTGCTGCTCCTGCTGCTCCTGCTGCTCCTGCTGCTCCTGCTGCTCCTGCTGCTCCTGCTGCTGCTGCTCCTGCTACTGCTGCTGCTACTGGCACTACTACTGCTACTGCTACCGCTAATGGTGCCACTGCTGCTGCTACCGCTTCTCCTGTTTCTATTGTCGTTTGCCTATTGCCCATTACCAACGACCTATGACCACCTGCTACCGTTGCCCATTACGCTACCCACTACCTATTGCCTATTACCTATTGCCGATTACCTATTGCCTACTACATACTACCTCTTGACGTCTCACTACTGTTACTACTTGAGCCACTGCTGCTGCTGCTGCTGCTGCTGCTGCTGCTGCTGCTGCTGCTGCTGCTGCTGCTGCTGCTGATTTTGCTTCTCCTGCTCCTGCTACGATTGCTACTACGACGACGACACCGTCGACGTCTGTGCACGGTGCTACATCTATCTGGGAGAGCGCAAGGAGAGCCTCCTGTCGGCGGCCGCAAGGACAGCACGTCCAGGCATCCTGTGTGGAGGGTCTTACGGCACTTGACGAAGGCATGTTCAACTCAAGCCGTGAGCGGTAGCCTAGTAGCCTACAGTAGACCCTAAAACTGTTTATCTGCCATCCTTCGTCTCGCCGCCATGGCCTTCCACAGCGGCCACCACGGCCTCGCCGGCATTTGCTGGAGCCTACAATGCTCCGAGGGCCTCCGATGGTCCGGGACCCCAGCTGAAATCGTGCGCCGACTGATGGCGCGGTGCTCCCGCCTCGCGCCGAAGCTCGGAGTGCCATGACGGAATGACACATACGGCATCTTGCGGCCCACGCCCTTCTACTCTCAACTGTGCCACCACGCGAACTCTCCGGATCCTCGCATCTGCCAGGGGCCGGGCGGTTCTCCAGAGGTGGAGCCGTTGGGCGTCCATGACGTCTTGCAGCTGCTGCCTTCTCTGGCTCACATGATCCATCTATCTGTGCTCTGCTGGCTACTTCGGAGAACTGGTCCAAATGCAACTAGATTCCTTGAAACTAGAAGCCAAAAACGGGCTAGATGCGTAGATTGCTCTCAAAACTCTGGACTGGTCTGAAGTAGAAGCCACCGAACTAGAATGCCTTGTGCAGCAGTTGTTGTGGTACTCTCCTTTCTTTTGCATAAGAAACAACAGCTGAATTCCCTTGATCGATCCAACACTGAAGATGGTGACCCACCTGTTGGGCAACAGATGCTGTGGTCATCCTTCATGGCAAAACACCGCTGCATTCTGCAGTCCATCATTGCGGGCAAGAGTAATCCCCCGGCCGGGAAGAGCCAAGCGCCAAAGACATCTCACCATCCTTGAAGTGTTGTGCAACTTTGGATGCCCGTTGTTCCAGCTGCGGCAAACAAGCCGGCTTCTTGTCCCTGTTGGTGCTACAACCACGGGAGATTTGCGTGAGGACGTTGCACGAATTGCACGTGGCTGTAGTTGCCAACTGTTAGTCGAGCGAACATAGTACAACAGAACAAAGGCTGTTCAAAAAAAGACGTCAGATTACATTCCGCACGTCTGAACTTACAACCCTCCTCTGTCAATCAGGAGGGCGGCTGAGCAGCATTGCCGAAGGTTATGGCGAAGCTGGCGGTTCATGGAATTTTCTGTTGTCGTTGTGCAAACACCACACACGATGCGACCAAATCAAAACGATGCAACCGAGAGCAAAAGGCGGACAAACAGCCTCCTCCTTGGCTTCTGCTGCGTGTGAGGTCCAAAGCCTCGGCATGATTCTCCCAGAGCAATCGAAGCTAATGCGACAATCGTAAATCAGGCACACGAAAAAGAAGGCGTCTATGGTCGCCGTGCCGCAGAAGCAGCGGCAGCTGCGAGAATCGGAGCAATAACTGTAGGAGTAGTACAAATAGTAGTAGTGGTAGTACTAGTACAAGTACAAGTACTAGTACTACTAGTCGTACTAGTAGAACTAGTAGTACTAGCAGTACTGGTTGTTCTCGTACTCGTACTACTAGTCGTACTAGTAGAACTAGTAGCACTAGTAGTACTAGTACTACTAATCGTACTAGTAGAACTAGTAGTGCTAGTAGTACTGGTAGTACTTGTAGTACTAATACTTAGTATTAGTAGTAGCCGCAGCAGCGGTATCAGCACATCTGGCAGCAGTGGTAGCACATGCAGTAAGCCGATGCAGAGGCGGTGGCAACGGGAGGGGCAGTGGCACTGGCGGTAGGTTTTGGTAATTGTAGTAGTCGTAGTAGTCGTAGTGGTTGTAGTAGTTGTACTAGTTGAAGCCGTTGTAGTAGTTGTAGAAGCTGTAGTAGCTGCAGTAGCTGTAGTAGCTGTAGTAGCTGTAGTAGCTGTAGCTGTAGCTGATGTAGTAGTTGTAGCTGTTGCTGTTGTTGTCGTCGTACTGGTGGTAGTAGTAGTTTGTGGTAGCTGTTGTTGTTGTTGTTGCAACTGGTGTTGTAGGAGTAGCACCAGCAGCAACGGCAGTAGCATGCTCCGATTTCGAGCGAACGATTCACCACGTGCAACCTGGCCAGGACCCTCTGCCGTCCCTCGGTCCCCGGCGCCCATCACCGCCTGTGAGCGCCGCCTCAGGGCAGAGGCCTCGGCTGAACAGCAGGGTTTGCCGGAAAAGCAGGGCGGCCGAATAACTTGCACAGCTCTTACTGAGACATGCACGAAACCCAGTGCTCCGCACGCTTTACGCTAAAGCGCTTTTTTGCTGCAGCTTGCTCGGAGGCTGAGACGCGTTGAGGGGTGTGAAATGCACAGCCAGCCTCCCACTTGAGAACCAGGGAAGTTCTAGCGACGTCGCCGGAACTTTCAGTCATCCGTAGCCTGCAACCTTCGGGTCTCGGCTCGGTAGAGGTACTCTGCAGAGTGGAGCATCCCACACCGGAAGGGCCAAATACCAGTCTTACAGAATTGAACGTAGCGGAAAAGATGCTGCAGATGCTCGGAGAGGAGATCTTCCTGTCCTTGACCACCCAGCCGATCCAGCCCACAATGGCACATTCAAAGTACTGTCTGCAGCTGGACCAAGCAACGCACGACCGGCACACACGACTCGCAAGACCTGTGAGCAGAGTGGCGGCAAAGCGCGCACCTAGTTCCCAGCATGGCCACGGTGCAAGTACGCTCAGATCTCACTTAGATGCACGTGCATGCGCCAGCGCCCGGACAAAGGCACAGCCAGGGACGTGAAAGGACACTATCCGGAAGGGAAGTGTGCTGGGTACAGGCTGTTCAGCGCTGGAGAGAGATGCTGAGTCCCATGCTGAACATGCTGCGCTCGCGACAGGCTCGTTCCGGTAACTCGCAGAGTGTAATTACACTACACAGTGGAGAAAGGACTCCGCAGAAGGCGCCAGACGGCAGCACCAAGGCATGTGCGAGTCACGAGCACCTGGATCCTGGGGTTGTGACATGAAGAACATGAAGATGGTGTACTGCTGAGATCTGCTGAGCGGGCTCGGCCATCATGAAAACAAACCCAGACCACGACTGTGGTTCAGCGGCACAAGCCTGTGCCATCGGCCGGTCGGGAAGAAGACGGAAGTCTGTCGAAGATCATCGCAAGCACTTGGTCATCGACAATCGGTCGCGGGAGTGCAGCTGCATGCCTTTCAGCCCTGCAGAGGCACTGAGCTCGGAAAACTCTGTTGCGGTGGGGCACAGCTCACAAGCCGCAGCATGTGTCCCCATGGAAAATCCCGAGCTGTTCTTTGCAAGTAGCGTCCCGAACCCCGGAACTGAGTCTTGCAGGTGGCCTATGTCCAAGTCTCAGTCACAATCTCGCGAGAAGACGAATCTGCACCCATCCTCTGCCTCCACCACCCACTTCCTTAGCAACCGTTCAGGGCCATCTTAAACGCAGAGTTCCCTTTTCATGATCCGTGTCAACAGCAGAGCATGGCTGGCCACGGAGGCTTTGTTCACAGCAGACTAGCTTCGTATGGCTCCAGCCACAGCTGCTGTGAAAAGAATCATCCCAGGTCTCCACCACATGCCACCGTCGTGCTCGAACCAATCGGCCCTGCAGCTTTCTGAAGGGAACCTTCAAAACGCAAAGTGTGAAAACAAAACCATGCGAGGCGTTCCCATCTCTGGACACACGGACAAGACAATCAATGCCTCCGTAACCTCCTTTTTGTGCTGCCACTTCATGCGTTCAGGGAGATGCTGCTCCGTGAAAGGCTGCAGCTGCCTTTCAAAGCCTGAGGGCGGGGTCGGAGCTCGCATCGCCCTCACCTTCCGCCTCAGTCGATCGCCCGACAGACTATCTTGCCGCCGAAGCCGCGAAACAAGAACGGTGCCCCGCTGAGTCCGCTGTGATAGTGACCGTTGAAGCTGCACCAAACTTCCTGAAGCAAGTTTAGGGCTTTGGGACGAGATACAGGAGGCAAGCGGTGACTGTTATTGCATACAAGGCATACAAAGGCTGATGTGCGAAGCCATAGTGTATTTCAGACGAGTCCGGCCAATGCAACTTCGCGGCGCCAGCAATTTCGACCCTGCCCAAGGCGAAGCCGTCGAGCTCCCGCCATGCCTTCACTCAAAGACTACACGATGATCATCACTACATGCATCATCACCCTTCTCAGCACCACGAACACTCTCATCATAATCCTAAACAAGGGCTTGACTTAAACCGTTGCGGTCACTGCCAACCCTTGCCACACCGTGATCATAGGCGGAAGAGGAGCAGAGGAACGGTGGGAACACAAGGGACAAGGACGATGCCAAATAACAAGCGAAAACACACGCACGGGCATGGTTTCGTTCTTGCCAGTCCAAACAGCCAGAATGCAACGACAGTCACTGACTCCACATCACCGGGACGACCTGTATACAGACTGGGAAGTGAAGCGATCGCACATCTTGCCCGCGTGAACCGCAGCAGCAACAACAACAGCCACAACCACAACCAGAATCAAACACCAAACAACAACAAGAACCACCACCACAACAACAACCACGACAACGAAAACAGCAGCAATCAATGCAAAATTTGTCGCTTTCAGCAACTGCGGAGGCACAAAGAGCGCGCACGGGTACATACTTCCACATCAAATTAGACGAAACCAACGGCCACACCCCACGCCTTTACATGGACGAAGTGTCGCTCGTGCAACACGTAAGCCTGTCCCAGGCCTTGCAGACCATCGTGGCTGGCAACAGGGTGGCCAAGTCCAAGAAGGAGTACAAAGCCTCTGCATCTGTGAATCTGCACGATATCGGTAGATAGATCGGTATACAGATGAGTCGGCAGGCACATCGTCAATACTTAGACAAAGAGATCAGGCAGCCAGATAATCAGACATGGTAACAGGTAGGTCATGTACAAGCATACGACAGCAAAGTGCCAATCAATGCATATGTATGTGCACTACGCTTTCTTGATTTTAAACGCTTGTTGTATTCAATACATACACACCTGTCTCTTCTACTTATGGACTTGACCCTCTACCCATGTCTACATGTGTATGTATGTGTATATATACATATGTGTATTCTCGCCACATAAACATATGTATATACAGTATACACATACATATACATGTACACAAACACAGGTATACATATCTGCACATGTATATATAAACATCTATATATGTGTACATATATATATATATACATGTGTGTGTGTGTGTGTGCGTGTGCATGTGTGTGTCTTTACATATGTAAATATAAATGTATATACGTATGTATGTGCACAGGTACTCATGTACACATCCAGCCATGCATATATGTGTATGTAAACCTTGGCTTGTATGTGTGCATATATACACATATGCGTGTGCATGTGGGATCTACTCATTACTATGCATGTGTGTATGTTGGTACATACGTCTGTAGTTATGTAAGTATGTATGATTACATTGTGCCTACATGTATGTACATAGTCTGGATGCATGCGCATAGGTCTATATGACATATGCGCACATGTATACACATACACACATACACACATACATACATACATACATACATACATACATACATACATACATACATACAAGTGTATCTGCATGGATGTATCTATGTATATATATATATATAAACAGAATGAAAACATGTTATATACATATAAGTACATATTGTATATATAAATACATATTGGCTTGTTTGTCTACGTAGCTGTATGTACGCATGTGTACGTATACATCCTTCAAACCGCTGATCCATGTATCTACGTTCGGCGTGTCTGTCTCACACATGTACTTTTTTGTAGAAGAACAGTATAGGTATACGGTATATGTACAGACATTTTCGTTTCACAGACACAGAGTTCGTCGCGAGCACCATCGTAGCTATCATCATCAGCACCATCACGGTGCACCGTCACGATCCTCATCACAATCACAATCCTCGTTGTCGTCCGCCACCAGCATTGCCTGTATCACTCTGGTTGTTCGGTGCCCATCGAAACCTGTGCAAACTTTGGCTAGCCGTGGTAGCAGTTGTTGTTGTACTCCTTGGTTGTGGGAGTAGTGACATCAGCAGCAGCAGCAGGAGTAGTGGTAGCAGGAGTAGTGGTAGCAGTAGTAGTAGTAGTAGTAGTAGTAGTAGTAGTCGTGGTGGTGGTGGTGGTGGTGGTGGTGGTGGTGGTGGTACTATTGCATTGCAGTGCGAACGTCTCACCGATCCGCGATGATAAGCTCGGCAGCTCCAGGCCGCATCCTTCTTCTGAGGATCCTTTTCACTAAGCCCCAACACCTCTATCAACACATATGCGTGTGCAGCTTCAATGCTGCCTGTGTCATCAGCAGTACTGAAACTAATCCATGATCGACTAGTACCAGTACTAGTAGTAATAGTCGTCGTAGTAGTAGTAGTAGTAGTAATAGCAGTCGTCGTCGTAGTAGTAGCAGCAGTAGTAGTAGCAGTAGTAGTAATTGTGGTGGTAGTAGTAGAAGCAGAAGTGGTTTGTCGTGATAGTAGCAGCGCAGCAGCAGCAGTGGCAGTGGCAGTAGCAGCAGCACTAGTAGCCAGCAAGTGGATCGCGAAGAGGGGGAGGGACGGGGCCGATAGCTGCGGTCCTCTGTCGAAGCACTATCGTATTCACATGCACATAAATATAAATATATAAATATATTTTTTTTATGTGTATCTACATACATACCGATATATAGAATATCGCACACATACAATCACATCTACATTGACATGTTGATGTATTTCAAGCTCTAGCCAGTCGTGAATTTGTTCATTTGTGTTTTTGCTTGTATTGCAAGAGCTCGCAAAGTCCCGAGTCTTGGTGGTTTCCTCGTGCCAAATCTTCCGGCCTTGACGTCCAGGACGCACCAGACCTCCGAAAACAATCGGCGGTCAAACACGTTCAATGCATATCACATGAGATGAGTCTGTGTGCGTGCACACGGGTGTCGCGAGCGAGCGAGAGAGAGAGAGAGAGAGAGAGAGAGAGAGAGAGAGCGAAAAACAGAAAGAGTCAGAATAAGACACAGAGACAGAGAGAGCGAGAGAGAGTTAGAGAGAGTGAGAGAGTGCGGAAGCGAGAGAGACGGGGACCACAGCTTGAAGAAACGGCTCTTGTTAACCGTACGATTATCCGTTGCGGTTGTGGTGCTTCTCGACCGATCTGTGCCATGCTTCGTGTTCTTGATGTGGCACATGGAAGCCATCTACAGAGACACAACCCTCCTGTTAACGGCTGCTTCTGCGCATCCGAACCGAGCTTTCTATACATCCTTGTCCCATGCAGCATTCCACATCACCTGATCTGGTTTAAGGTCATTTGGCAATGCATAAAACTCTTTGCACACACACACACGCACACAGAGAGCGAGAGAGACACGCATGATCATGCGTTGAGTGGTGCGGTTGTTGCTTTGTAGCTAGATAGGTAACTAGATGCATAGATGGATAGATGGACAGCTGGATGCATGGATGGATGGATGGATGGATGGATGGAGGGAGGGAGGGATGGATGGATGGATGGATGGATAGCTGGATAGCTGGATAGATGGATAGATGGATAGATAGATAGATGGATAGATGGATGAACAGACTGACAGACACCCAGAGGAGGGCGGGTAGATTCGGGCAGATAGCAAGATGGATCGACGAATGGGTAGATGTGTGGATGGCCACAAGAGATCAGCTGACATATGGGCAGACGGATAAGGAGGTCTTCAACTCACTGGCGTTGCGCAAATACCTGTGCCAGCAACATCAAAGCTGTTCGAATTCCGACTGTTTGTGTATGACGACTCTTTTGAAGGGCGATACGTACTCTCGTCATCGCAGCTATGATAATCTGGATTCACATCACCAAACATGAAGAGCAAACACACAAACAACCAACGAAACACCCAAACAACCGAAAAACAATCAACAACCATCACAACCACGGCCAGGCGACGACACCCTCGTCATCATCTTGATATGAATTTGAATCATCCTTTTCGCGTCAATCCTCTGTACATACTCGTACGAGAAGGTGTTTGGTATGCACCTACATACAGACACACATAAGGCCTGCTTGCCAACACGTGTCTGAAGCAGCTCCATGAAACCCGCGACCGTCTCAAATGGTGCCTAAACCCTAAGCTGTCTCTCAGCTTTGGATGAAGGGCGTGCCTTCTCGGTAAGCTCTGCGGGGATCGAAGCTGTGGATGCCGAGGCTGTCGGCAAGGCCGTCTTCTGAGGCCCTCGCAGAGGTGATGCGTTCTACTCATGATTACAATAACGATCTAGTCTTGCTGCCGTAGGAAAACAGATGCATACCTTCATACAGAAACATACACGTCCAGATACCTATGTACACGCATACTTGCTTACTGACTTACTTACTTGCATACATACATACATACATGCATACATGCATACATGATATACATACACATAACACATACACATACGAGTACAACTGCAAGTACAAATGCACATGAATATTTAATATACATATAAACACAGACGCATCTTACAAGAGTCCTTCATGACAGCATGTACCTGCATACGTATACCCATATTGGCGGCCATGACAGTGTGTGTTGTATCTACGTGTCTCCTTGGCAAGGTCATAGGCTTGCGTGGGATGCCGAGCCGCCGTCGCGCTCTGCAGCTTCCGAGGAGCCCGTGTGTTGCACCAGGCCCTGCCAGCACCCAAATTCCCCAAGCTAACATCCCTGCACATGTAAACCCTAAACCCCTGAACCTCTAAAGCCTAAACCCTAAACCCCTAAACCGGAAACCGTAAACCCTAAACATGTCCCTGCCGCTTGGCGCCTCTGCCAGGTACTCCTGGAGTGAGGATCCCGTAGACTCGATGACAGACTTCTGCAAGGCAGTCACGGCTTGCTCTCCTGCCAGAAGCGGTGGCCGCTGCAAGAGCACCCTCTCATCCTGCTTGTAAGTTTGTGCCTTGAAGGAGCCGGTAGCGTGTGGTGGCGTAGGCTAGAGGCATTCAATTGCTGTCTGCATCATGGACGAAACGAGGGGAAAGACGCGAGCAATGAAAGGAATGAAATGACAGAGTGCAGCTCTGAAACCATTGACCACGGCATCTTCGTCAAGCGGCTGTTAGATCTCTTTAGCAAATCAAGTCTGGAAGACAAAACGACAGCGCACAGCTTCGAGGCGCTCTGCTCGGAGAATCTTGGAGAACCGTGGACTGCTTCACATAGGTCGGGCGCGTGGGGTAGACAAAGGCTAGAATGCAAAGAAAGGGGCGGACTGGAAAGGGCTCATTTCACTGCCCTAGTGCCTTTAGCAGAATTACCTGCCACAGGCACAAACCCAAGTCCTCCTGCTGAGTACAGGCGAAGGTACAGGTCGAGGCCACGGTGCGCAACGAAGTCAAGGCCCCGCGTCGTCCACGTATAGGGGAGCAAAGGCTCTTGCGGCTTGGCAGCCCTGCACATTGGGCTCAAACACATCAACAGCCAAGAAAACAGCCGCATATGCCTTCGTCATTAAGATAGCTGCAACAACCGATTCGAGCTGTGGCGAGTTTGACCATGCCCCTCCTCCGGTTGCTGAACCGGCGCAGAGCCATGGCGTCTTCACAGCGCGGCCGTCCCAGGCATCCTAATTGATCGGATGCTGAACTACAATGCTCAGCTCCTTTGCTCACATCTGCTCACAGCATGCTTCGCCTGCAGCATCCCGAGCCAAGAGATTCAGCTTCGGTGTGATTCTTGCAAAGATGATAACCCACGGTCTGATGCCAACTCTGACATGCAGGAATCAGACTCCGGCGCGGTACGTGATAACTGTCCTCGGCATCAGAAAACGCAAGTGTGCTGTGCAAACCGAGACGAAACTCTCCAATGCTTCGACTTTCACTCTTGAAGCCTCTCGTCTTGGCCTCAGACGAAGTCGACGAGGCTAACCGATAACACAGCGGACATACCTGAGCTCGCTGAACGTGGCCTTGCAATGCTTGTGGCCATCGCTAAGATGAATCTTCATCAACCGGTTAATGTGTCTGTCCTGGTTGCAATCATGGAAACATGACGTTCATGAATTTTGTGATCCCGGCTAGTGCAGCCACTCGAACTCCATACATAAACCATGCCGTGGTGCCGGTACATGTCTTTCTGCTGTTGAGGCGTGCTGCTGCCTTTCCTTACTGTCCTTGTTACCGTCCGAACTGCTCGTTGAAAACAGGTACTGTTTGCATGGCCCCCAGTATGATTCTACGTACCGCAGGTAGTAGCATGAGCATCGTTGGTGGCGTTTGTAGTTCGAGTAGTCGTATCTTACTCTTGTCCTAACTTTCTTGACTCGTATTGTTACTTCGATGGCAACATAGAAAACTGCGACGACTGCTGCTGCTACTGCTGAGGCTGCCCAGGCTGCTACTGATATTGTGATTCATCGTTAGTTTCGTCACATTTGTCACTCCCGTCATTATCAGTTATCGGCAATAGGAGTAGCAGGGCAACACTTGTAGAAGCAGCAGCGTGGATGGGGACTAGCACGACGACGACGACAACGAAAATGATGACGGCGACCTCTTTGTGCAACCGATACTGGTACCACTACCACTAATCCACGACTGCCACGACGAGGAGGATGACGTCAGCAATTATCTGCGCTACTTACCATTTGGCGTACCACGATTGCTCGTGGTCGCTTCGCAGTAGTGCGCCATTGCTATGTTTGACGATGCCACAGGCTCCATGGCGTGATGTCACTGGTCTAACGCTACTGTCGAAAGACGGATCGCCTTGCGCAAGGGCGGATTGAGCACCGGGATCTGAGGAGCACACAGAGCAAAGGTCGCAAATGTCACACTGCCAGCAGACTACACCAGCCTGCGAGGATTCTGCACGGAACACGAGCACGGAGAAAATCGGAACGACGAACGACAATATCCAAGCGGAATGACAATAAATACTTCTGAAAGAGACGTCACCTAGCTTTGCAGCCGCATTCACGTCATCAGAGGTCCGTCCGGGACATACGTAAAGTAGTGAGATTCTGCAAGTCCGTGTTGGTGAGAATCCAGTTCCGCGTGGCTAGAGCATGATGGGCCTTGGCCACATCACCCTGGCAGATGGAGCAATAGAGCACCTGAGTGCAAGTGACGCAGACAGCGGACATAGTATCATGCAAAGTCTCTAGGTGCCAGGCCTCATTCACATCAGGCGGCTCCACCAGCCTCGCAAGCACGCGGACGGCTGACGAAGTGGTCGGTCAACTGTGTGAGGCCAAAGATGGATGCATGGATGAAGGTTGGTGTGTACGTAGGCTGACAGCCAAGCAAACCGTAAACCCTACCGTCAACCGTGAACACTATGCCATGCCGAAGCCAAGGGGCTCTAAGAGGCCGCCACAGTCGAAGCCTCAGAGAGAAGGACCAACCGGAGCACGACTGTAAGTGCCAGGTACAAGTACATGCTGCGGGTGCATATATGTTAGTAATAACTGTCTTGCGACTTGCGATTTATGTAGTTGTCCATCCATGTATCTATTTTGGTCTGTCTGCTTCTGACTTGCTTGTAGTATCTCATCTACTTATCTCTTTACTTGCACAAACGCTTTAGCAGTCCGAAGAACACGGTCCAAACACAAATTCAATACGATAGTCACGATGGCCGCAATGCTTCGAACTTCGAACCCTCAGACGCAGTGCGGATGGCTTTGGAAACTCAGGCACGGGCACTCGCCGCGCTCCACAGCCTGCCAGACAGCAGGATCCCGTTCTCCGGGGATTCCGAAAGCTTCTGGGCTACAGGGCAGTGCTTCCTGGAGAGATCTGCGATTGAATCTATCCCATCTTGTCTTGGTTCTCAGAGCAGACCGGCGGCCCGTCTTTTCTTCAAATGTTGCTTTGCCGATGCCTCCTGGGTAGCGGACGTAGTCCTGCAGGACACGGCGAACACGCGCCAAGGATGAGCCTCACTCTTGACAAGCGGCTCAAGAATCTTGATCGCCAACAGGATGACTGCCGCAGTGAGAATGCCAAGCCAAGCCGCATTGTCAATGCGGCTGCCATCGTGCTGGCGATTAATATTCACGAACTGCTTAGGGAAATCCTTCCTGCAGATAGCAATACTGCCTGTGCGGAGGCTTCTGAAGACCGACTTTCGCGCAGCGCCTTTGGAGCTGTCGGAACAGTCGGCTCTTCGAGCGCATCCCATATTCCATCAGCAGCGAGAAGAACGAACTCCGTGGTGTCCTTTACCGTGACCTCTGGCTTGGAGATCAGACCATGGACTTCCCGCACCGCTCTTGCTCTCAATGTCCCCGAATGCTCGGGAGACTTGGACTTTTCCGTCAACGTAGCCACCATCGATCTTCACCTCGAGCTTCACAAGGAGCCTTTCAGTGGAGTGATCTGCCGTCTTCGCATACGCCCGCTCGGCAGTCGCCTAAGGTCACAAACGAAAGCTCCTTCTCTTGAAAAAAGCAACACCTGTCACCGTCCCGGAGGACGCGCCTCCTGGTGACAAATTTTGAAACAGAGAAGGCTATTCTCGACGCTTTCGAGGCATCAGAGCAAAGAAAGCACCCAGAACTGGCTGACGAAGCTTAGCATCGTCAGATGCTTTCCTCTGATGCCTCGAAAGCATCGAGAATGGCCTTCTCCTTGTCGATCGCAAGCCGAAGATGGTGATCCAGCTGCTGTGGGAGCAGTTCTAGGCGAGCTTGGCTTTGTCGCCACCGTGGCCGTCAAGACGGCAGCGCGCTTGGGTCCCCCACCATCTTAGACTACTTCCGAGTGTGGTTTCGCCCTGGCGAAACATGACAGGGCTCGAATGCAAGACGCAATGGCATTTTCCATTCTAGCCCTGTCATGTTTGGCTAGAGCGACACCACACTCGGAAGTACCTCCGCTGCCATACTCTCTCAAACCTTGAGGCCCTCTGGCCATCGCTCTGGGTCTGGCTTCCCGGGCCTGAATTGAATGTGGGTTCGAGGGACCTAGTTGAGACTATGTGCCGGGAGGCTGCGCCACGAAAGCCAGGTGTCAACTTTGCGTACGGTAGACAAATGGGTTGACCTTTGACATCATGCCACAGTCTTTCCCGGTGGATGATCTTCCAAACTGAGCAACACGGTTACTGCAAAGGGGCCACAAGATGGAGAATCTTGAAATTTTGAAAGTTTGCCGATGGCTGCAGGACAGGAGCACTGTATGTGTAGCGAAAAGTTCAATACCCCTTGGTCCCCCAAAAAAACATTTATAAAGAGAAGCTTGGCAAGCTCTTCGGAGTTAGCAAAGCGACCGAACCGAGAAAGACGTGAACTGCGAGTTGAAGACAGTGACTTCTAACTAGCCAGAGAAACCTTGGGGAAACCATGGGAAACCCCTTCGTTGCGTCGGAACGGCATCCGGACTCTCGAGCCTCTCGCCAGCCGTTCGGCGGCAGCCCTGGGAAGGCACTGGCCTTGACCAATCCGTGCACGAGCCCGCGGTTATGATGTGTGTAATTGTGGCTTCACAGAAGGTGATAGGATGATCCAGGGCTTCAGGGCTTCGCGTCTTTGCACGAGGTCACCAAGCAGTTGCGGCTAGTAAGATTGCTGGGATTGAACTCAGATTATGATTGCGTTGTCCTCATGATACCAGGCCTGATCCTTGATGTACTCCAAAGTGGTGATGCCTTCCATTGAGTCTGAAAAAGCAGCAAAGGACGGAGCATCGGCCCGCTTTTACGTCGCCAGGCTCTGTGCGGTTGCGCTGGCAATGGGAAGAAGCCCACACTCCGGCAAGAATCTCAAGCCGAGCCTACCAAGCAGAAGTAGGTGTGCTGGGCCTCGGGACGGAGCCGGAACGGGGTGAAGAGTCAAGAGAGATGGCTTGCACAAGATAATCGTTGCTCAGCGGAATACATGACCATCACTTCGTTGCAAAGGTACCGGACCGGATCTACGAGATGGTCACCTAAATCCGCTGTCTTACGAAAATCAGGGATTGGAAATGCAGTAGTACTGGTGGTAGTAGTAGTAGTAGTAGTAGTAGTAGTAGTAGTAGTAGTAGTAGTAGTAGTAGTAGTAGTAGTAGTAGTAGTAGTAGTAGTAGTGGTAGTGGTAGTGGTAGTGGTAGTGGTAGTGGTAGTAGTAGTAGTAGTAGCAGCAGCAGCAGCAGTAGTAGTAGTAGTCGTAGTAGTAGTAGTAGTAGCAGTAGTGACTAGTAGTACAGTAGTAGTGGTGGTGGTGGTGGTGGTAGTAGTAGCAGTAGCAGCAGCAGCGCAGTAGCAGGTAGAAGTAAAAGTAGAAGCCTAGGAGCGTTTCCGCCAGGACTGTCAGCAAGGCTTGCGCTATTAACATCTCTTGTTTGCGCTATTACTTCTACGATTCCGGTACTACTGAACAGACTGGTACTTGAGAGGGCTTTCGTAGAACTGTCGGGTGACCAAGGCTGACTTTTATGCGGCCCCTGGTGGCATTCCTGAGCCATTCAACTTGAGTGCAACCTGAAGGAGAACGCTTTGAAACTGGCGACCTATGCAGGTGTAAATCTCGCAGATGCCTGCTGTTCCAGGAGCCTTGGAACAACAGCCTTGCACCTGTGAGATTTCGACAGGCAAATGTCGGTCTATCAGGTAAACTGCAAGCGCCGCTCGAGGGGAGTGAACGATGATGGCTGCATCATCGGACAAATGCAGCGCAGTGCAGTTCTCCAAGCGGCAGCAAATTTGCTGTTGCCTCCAGCACTGCAGCAAGCGCTCTGTCGGCAAACGACAACGTTGCGACTTGTCTTCCATCCGCGCTCGCCCATTCTTCGCAGAGCATTGCAACTGAATGCACAGTTCGCATTTTCTCTCGCACCGCAGTACAGGCGAATGCTCATAGCTCAGGCAAGCCCTCTTTAACAAAAAGCCGTGTCGAATATGTCGACGATTGCAGACGACATTACACGATGGGCACCGGCTCGCATGTTGTACACCTCATGGCTTCTTGTGGCCATAGCTAACAAGACTCGCCTCAACGAACCTGAACCGACATACAAATGAGGCAAACAAACCTAGGTTATCCTCTCGACAGAGCTGATAGCACAGTTGCCGAATTTCAAAGTTGTACTGAGGTCGCGGCGAGCAAAGCAAGGAGGAAAAGAGATTCCATGGAAGATAACTGAGCGTGGCATTTCGGCTTTACTGCTGCAGTCCACCGTCTGGCCCGGTCATCCCGTGTCTTTCTGGCAAACGACACCAGGAATCCAGGAAGGCAATCTGCCCCCCAGGACAAGTGAGTTCAACTAGCTGGCTTGCCTTGCACCTCGCAAACGAGGCTCTGACACAACCAGCAATGCTGGCGAAGATGTAGAACCTCAGACTCAAGAGCATGTCAGAGCTTCATGGGCGTGGAACTGCTGGCTGAGAGTCTTTTCCGGTCTTTTTGGTCTTCGTCCGACGAGGCTCCGGCACCACTGGCTGAGACTCGTGCAAGTCGTGACTGGCACGCGGGGCAACGGAGCGACTGCAAGCTGAAAGCTGACAGAACCCTCAACTTACCTTTGGTAAAGGGGTCTATAAGGGTTACTATAGGGGATCAAAAGGGCCTTAAAAATCCTATAACTTGCCTTTGGTTAATAGGGAATGGAGGAATGGGGTACAATTATAACTACTATTACGACCATTCTTCAATTCCCTACTAACCAAAGGTAAGTCAAATCCCATCAAACCCTCCAAAAGAACGAAGCGGGAAGCGAAAGGTGGAGATGCAGGGCAAGGCCTCGACGGATCACTGAGCAAGTGGAAGTGGGCGAAGCTGCACATGACCATCAGCACGAACAGCAGCGCCTTCCGATAGCGTGGGAAGAGGACATGTCCGGAGCTGTGTTTTCATATGCAGTTGTGTGATACCAAACCTGTTGCTGCAAAGGTCATCTGGGCCCCTGGCCACGAAGCTAAACCAGGCCGGGTAGCTCCTGCCACCCCACGTGAACAACTTTTTCAGGGGTAGCGATGGTGCTGCCCGCTTCTGAATCTGGCACAGGCGAGGGCAGGACCTGCCCCCCACGCAAACGTTGAGGTATCGGCAGTGGTGGTCGAACCCCTGCAATCCGCATCCAAGCTTGTGAGACGCATTTAACTTGCAGGCTTTTCAGCCCATCGCATTGCTACTACGCTGTTCATTTGAGAGGTCTTCGGGACTGGGTGAGGAGGATGTGGGGCTGCACCTGTCCGATCGATAACTCCGTGCTAACACGACTCAAACATGAGAGCGCATTTTGCGAGGCATGGGTGGCGCTGGCCTGAACACTGTACATCTTGCTATACAAGCTGCGCGCCACCCCTACGAGGTAGGCACTGGAAACACCACAAACTCGGAAGCTGAAGCGAATCCAGCCACACACGGACAGGTTGCTAAGAATCTCAAAGCAGGGCCCTCAGGCCTAAAGCCTGAAGGCTACTAAGGCCCCCCTTGCACGTTGCTTCAATCCCATGCAAACTTCTTCTCCCATCGCTCGCGCAGTCGATTCTTCTGCCTGGCAGGCAACCGGCCAAAGACTAGTATTTGTTTGTTATTATCAGTAGGAGTATTAGTGTAGTATTAGTATTAGTTCGGGGCAGCTAGTTGCACTCTTCTTATAGAGACGTACATGCTTTTTGGCCTTTGCCATTGTCCAGTCCAGGTAGGTGCAATGCTAGGAGACTGACAGGATCAGGTTTCGTAGAGATCTGGTTGCTTCAGCACAGTGCTTGTCATCCTCGACCTTGCACTGCTTATCGGATACGCATTTGAACCCTGGATTCAACAGACACGTGAAAAGAGGCCACACTGTCGAACGGCAGAGTCCCTTTTGCGCACGGCTAAAACTTCAAGGCCTTTTCATTATGCGTATCTCATGGTTTCTTGATCGCTGCTCTGCCTCGGGTCATGCCACTTCGTTGACACAGAACCCAAACTCCGCCACTGCCAAGACGGACAGACTGGCAGGCTTCGGAAAGACATCCGCGGTTCCATCGTTGTTTCCCATCCGATGGCGGCACCTTTGAAGTACTGTTTCAAAGGTTGGAAACTTGAAGTAGAAGCACGAAACGGAAAGGTTTTACCAGCCAGCGGATGATGTGGGTGGGTATTGAACCACGCTGGTGCAGGAAACTTCTGACCTGCTTTGGTGTGGTTTGGCCGGTGTCGCTGCCTTTTCGTCGAAGTGAGACATGCTGGGGAAGCTAGCTCCTTCTTTCTCCCAACGCTACCTGGACTCTAGACAAATGGGTGGTTGTCGAAATTATGGTCCCTTTTTGGGGTCCTTACCATAATACGGCACATAGGTACCCAAAAAGGGGGCCACAATTGTGAGAACTACCCAAATGCTGACGTGAAGTGGTTGCCAACTCTTCTCGCCGTGTCTCTTTCCCTCTCGCCTCTCTCGCAGCCTCTGGCATTCGGTGCTTGTGGGCTCCATCACTTGAGAATCATGCTCGCAAGTTCAGCAGGCGGAGACATTGTCAGCAAGCGTGAGAACAGGCCCGAGTAGCCAGGGACTCTTGGACGGCCATGCCGGTGCAGCGACTGGGCGCTGAACACCTCACATGCACCAACAAGAAAAAGCCTTCTGCTCTGCCAAGTTTCCATCCTTGTGATGCTATCACTGCAAGAAGGAGGGAAGATGTCCATCCTACGAAGCCCTTCAGAGCCTGGGACAAACCGTTAGAAAGCAGTACAGCTGAAACGGAGTGGTCTAAATGCAACTCGGTATTCTCCGAGTGGCTTTGGTGCACAGCATGCGACACGTGCGTCTCCAGCTTGAAATGGCGGCTTCCGACCTTTGGCACTGTGTCGAATCTGCGGTCTTCAGAAGCCGTGTGAACCAGAGAAGAACTTTTGAAAAGACTCGGGTGTGCTACAGAACACGAGAGCTTAACCTGCTTTTCGTCCCAGCCGCAGGTATCCTACAGCACCCCAACTCCTCAAGTCAGACACAACGCAGAACTTGGGACTCGCACCGTGATCTCCGACACCTCAACGAAACAGCATCGGCGATTTCGAACCTGAGGAAACTTCCAGCTGAGGCAGTTATGTGAAGGTCTACCACGGCCTAAACCCGAAGGAGCACTGGCACACGGCACCAGCGCACAAGACCGATTCTACACGACACAAGAGAAGCAAGAAAGAAGTCTGAAGACTTCGGACCAGGGCGCCTGGATGATCCATACCGAAACATTCGATTTTTGGTAGCTCCGGACCATTTCAGTGGCTTGTCTCGGGGCCCTGCTCGATTGGCACCGCCATACTGGCCATCATCTTTGACAAAATGCTCTCGCAGATGCTCTACCTGCAGTGCAAACATAAGCAAGCACTTCATGCCTGTGCTCTTACATAGATTTCGGCATGGAAACCTTCTGCAATTTTGAGCTGCCAATGGTGATCGCCTACGCACCGCGCGGGCCTCGGCCTCCTTGTCTTGCACCCCGCATGACCTGGAGCATCAACAAGCTTGCTTGATGTTCCATAGCCACCCGGCGCAAAGCATCAATCTTGCGTGTCCATGTGACGGTGGACCTGTTCAGGCATCCGCGCGGCCAGCGAACGCGCTGCCGCTGATACAACTTCGCAGCCTCAGGGTGCTGAAGGGACGATCATCGTGTCTGGTGACTCGACGAGAAACGGCCGCGCCTTGGGAGCACGTGGCCGATGCGTAACCAAGGCTCCTGCTGTCCCAGTCTCAGAGCGGCCCTCCACAGCACCACTCCGGGCGCAGACTATCTAACTCGCCAGTCCTGTGATCTTCGGCCGAGCGTCCTGCAGCAGGTGAGGAGCACAGGCTCGAAGCTGGGACACTTTTGAAGGCGGCAGTCAACCGGCGATTGCAGCTCTTGAGAGTCCTCCTTGGCCACATGCTGAGTTCCTTCTGCTGGCTGCCGCGGCCGAGGACTTTCGTCGACCTGTTGTGATGGGATGCATGTGCTTCATCCTTGGGCGATTCCAGCTACCTGGACTTCTCCCCGCCCGCCTCGCTGTGGCAAATTGACATCACCGCCGACACAGTCAGGCCGGTGCTGCACAAGGCCTACCGCGGCGCTACGAGTACCTCGATCACGTGATTTCGCGACTCGCCGCGCCTCACAGTCTGTGAGGAAGTGCGCGATGCGGGCAGCAGCGGATGGACAGATTCTGAAGCCTCCCGGCATGAAAACAGATGCTGTCGGCGGGTGTAAAAGGCACGCGCAAGACCTGAGCCTCTTATTCTTGTTGCATGCAGAAGCAGATCGTGTCTGGTGCTGGAGGGAATTTTGTTGGGCCCCTGCCCGGAACTAACCCACCTGATTGAAGCCGGTCGGGCAAGCTCCCACCCTGAGTATGTTGGCAGGTTCCGGTGAGTACCGGATCAAGCCTCTACTCATCTCTACTCAGCGCGGCCATGCATAACACTCGCAGCATCAACACGCCCCGGTCAACAAAGGAGTTTGTCCTAAGCTCCGCTCGTGAAGACGGAAGTTGAGGCATCTAAAGTCCTTTTCGCTTCAATCGCGCTTCAAATGTGGTTGTGCCGATGCCTCGTGGAATAGCAGGCAAGGGCCTGCGAGACATGGTTATCATGCACATGCCGAGGACTTCTGCCTCACTCCGTTGTGGAGCCACGCTTGAAGAGCCACTGTGCCGAATGGTGCTTCGGGAGCGGCTCAGGGATATTCAAAAACAGTACGACCGATAAACTTCAGAAAACACCAGGATCTTGCATTCCGGTGATTCTAGAACCTTTTGAGCAGTGGGAGTGCAAGGGAGGGTGAACGGCGTCGCTTCCCTGATAGACCTGCAATTGAATCTGAATCTATTACATGCAGGTTCTGGCTGATCACAGAAAACATCATGTCGCACTGGCGGCCCGTCATTCCTTCAAATGTCTTCAAATGTTGCTTTGCCGATGCCTCGTGGAACAGCAGACATAGGCCTGCGAGACACGGCGAACATGCATGTGCTTAGGGCTTGGAAATGAGCCTCACTCCGTCTTGGAGCCAAGCTTCAATCTCCACTGCCCGGGCTCGCGCTTTGGAGGCGGCTCAGGAATGTTGATGGCGAGCACGATGACAGCCGCATTGTCTGATTTGGAAACCCTTCCGGCAGAATCCAGCACTGCCTGGGCGGCCGCTTCTGAAGATCGAGTTTCGCGCAGCACCTTTCGAGCGGTTGTTAGAACAGTCTGTTCTTGCAGCGCATCCCATACGCCATCCGTTGCCAGGACGACGAACTCCATACTGTCCTTCACCGCGACAATCGTGACCTCCGGCTTGGAGATCAGTCCTTTGATTTTACCACGACTATTGCTCTCGATGTCCCCGAAAGCACGCGAGACCTGGACTTTTCCATCGACATAGCCTCCATCGATGTTCACCCCGAGGTTCTGGAGGCGGTGCTTCTCTGCCGCATTTTTTTCAGGCGAGTGATCCGCGGTCTTGCTAGAGACCTTGGCCCCGTCGCATACCACCGCCCGGCAGTCGCCCAAATTCACAATCACGAGCTCCTTCTCTTGGAGAAGCGCGACACATGTAACCGTTCCAGACGACGTGCCCGATGGTGATGAATTCGCTTCGTCGGCAAGTTCTTCGTGCATGCGTTCCTCTGATGCTTCGAAAGCATCGAGAATTGCCTTCTCCTTGTCGGTCGCAAGTTGAAGATAATGATGCAGCTGCTGTGGAATCAGTTCCTGGGCGAGCTTGGCAGCCTTGTCGCCTCCATGGCCGTCGACGGCGGCGCACTTGTGTCCAGCAACATCGTTGTGAATGGCAACCGCATCTTCCATCCGAGCCCTGTCATGCTTCGCCAGGGCGAAACCACACCCGGAAGTACCTCCACTTCCATACTCTGGCAAACCTTGCGGTCCTTTGGCCCTGACACCGCAACAGTCGCAGAAGTTGCCCATGGCTCCGCGTCTGGGAATCAACTGGATGCTGTACGATACATCAAGATCTAGTCAATCTATTCGAAGTGACGTGTCGGGAGGCTGTGCCACCAAAGCCAAGTATCCACTTTGCGTACAGTACTGAAAGGTTCGTGTTGAGATGATGCCTCAACTTTTTAAGTGGATGACCTGCTAAATTGAACAACAGTGCCCAGGGTTATGCGCAAGTTGACGAGCCGAGAGAGAGAAGCAGAGACGCAAACTCCAGGTTCCTTGCTGCACGCCGCAGCGAGCGCCGCAGCTGCGCCAACTTCCTCGGAGCGCTCCACTTGGAAGACATGGCAGTTCGAGTGGTGCACCCTTCTTCTTCAGAAACTGTGAAGCTGTGGATTCAAGGGTTGCCCCAGCCAAGCTTCGACACGAGCTGTCCCGCTTGTCGCAGCACCGTCGCCCTGGCCTTCATCACATAAGCTGAGTGTCTACGTGTACCACTGTACATACATACATACATACATACATACATACATACATACATACATACGTCTACTATTCGTTTAGCCAGTTGTTATGCAAGTATAAGACTACAGAACCTGAGAAAGCCCATGTAAAAGAAAGCGCTCGTGCGAGTCTGGATTGCACACGATAGCCCGAGAGGAAGCTTTCGCTTTCACCACTCGGCATAATGACTACCTGTATAGCTACGAGAATCTGCGAGACAAGGCGCATACGTATACGACATGTGCATACCTCGCGACTGTGTCGAGGCTTCAACAGGCCTGAATGAAGGAGACCTCCGGCCAGGAAAAGCGCCAGGCGTGGACATAACGGCCCACGTCATGGGGTGACTCTAGGTCTCGGCGACGTGGGGGCGTCTTGGGGCAAGTGTGATGCTTTGCACCTAGAGGGTCTTTGTCCACTTCGTGGAGCTAGTGAGGCTAGTTTTGGTCAGGCTATGATTCAATCTCGACTACATGCTCCTGCTGCACGTCGAATCCCCACGGTCTGAAAACGAAGCGAGACCCAAAGTGCATCTCAGCTCCCTGCTGCGATTCCGGCGGTCCTCTGCTAGAACATATGTGTAAAAGCACAGAAGCGCATGCAAAAAGTGAAGATCTTGTAGGTTGTAGACAGGTTACAAATGCTAGTCTGCTGCCCGAGTCCGTCAGCGCTGAAGGCATTGCTGCAGCTAGCATAACTGCTGCCTGTGGCAAAGCCGAATGAAGCATGCACTGCCAACTGTCAACTTTAGCGAGGAGGCCGTATACTAAGTTACCAAAATGTACCATGACTTACTGTAGTATATTACCATGTACAATATATCGATAGTATATCGATAGATGTCTTTTTGGGCTAGTCTGCACGTCGAGCTGCTCAAAAGCGGCTTACTTTGTCCCAGCTAGGGCTCTTGATATCGGGATGATAACCAGCCCCGATCCCCATAGAGACATCAGTCCTGCCATCTTGCTACTGGTCAGCACCTCCCTCAGACCGTATGGGAGATATCTGCTTCTGTATATATACACATAAAGGTAATGTATTCGCAGAGGATGCCGAATAAGCAAACAGATAATTACATGGAGACCGCAAGGGAGGCAGAGATGAGCGAAACATGGATGGGTAAGTCTGTGCACACAGACATGCACATGTATTTCTACACACCTGTATACAAGCAGATGTATACACACAGACATACAAGCACATACAAAAGCATGTGCACATGTGTGAGACGAGATACATGTTTCTACTTACGAGAATTTGTCCGCAGATGCTTTTTGAATGAACACAGTATCTAGCTTGCAGGTATCTGCTTCAAACATACCACATGTATGCTTGCGCATGCGCAAGTAGTGTGTTTCACTGATTTATTCAAAAATATCTTTATGTTACATTCGAATATCAGTTATGCATTTACCACCACTGCCACCTTGGCCACGGCTGGCACTGCGACCACGTCCGATGCCACCGGCGTCATCATGTACAAGAACATCCAAAGTAAAGACAGTGACAGCATCCAGAACAACATCATCATGATCATCACTGCTGTTGCTATCCTCACAGACGTCGGAGATCATCGCCAGTAGTCGCCTCAGCTAATCAGCAGCTCGCCTCGAAGGGCGCATGGCCCCAGGCAGCATCGTGCAGCGGCAGCTTCCCTTCGCATGCAATGCTCTGGCACATCTGCCACATTGCTTTTAAGCATTCGGTTCCTTTCTGCAAAACCTCACTCCGCGCAGAATCAATTTTGGCGGAGGAGTGTACCATCCCAAGACGAAACTGCCATGAAAGGTAGACCGTCAGCTATCAAGCATGATAACACAGGCAAGCTTCGGGGTTCTTTGCGTTAGGTTCGGTGGTGGATTCACGGTATACACATGGTCGGGTTTTCTGATGTGTTTGTAAACGGATCGCTTTGAGCTGATGGAGGTTGTTCTGAGGTAGTGTTCTCTTCCGGTAAACTACAACAAAAATTGACAAATCAAGCAATGAACCCTTGGCTTTGACAGTTCTTGTATGGGGGGATTCGCAATAAGCCATCCCTGGGATAAAATCCACTGCAATTAACTGCAAAAACCAGCATTCCCGGCCTGGAAATGCCCTGGAGCCCTCAAACCCTGCAGCGTACCTGTTTCCGGATCGCGGCGACGGGCTTGCTGGGGGCACAATCGTATCAGGCGCCTGGACTGAAAGCACTCCGCTGCCACATGAGTGCTGCCTGGAATGCATACTGTACAAATACACCATGCCTGCCTCTCCTTCTACACCGCAGCAATCATCACCGCCATCATCATGCGAGGCTTCGGCTTGCGTTTGTCGCTGGCTGATTTCCCGAGTTCCTACCAGGAGCTGCAGCCGATTGCCGTGCCGTCGAGGCACCACAGCAGCCCGAGAGCTCCGGGCAGCGGCTTGCCAGTGGCCACCCCGCCTTAGACACAACCGAGCTTAGATCCGCTTCGCTTCGACGCTTCTTTGAGGAAAGGAGCCGCTGCGCGCTCCGCCCGAAGTGTAGGCGACCCAGCTGAGCAGTTCCTGAAGATCAGAGATAGGCTCAGGGGAGCAACTAAGGATCACATTCTCAGTCTATGTTAAACATCCGAGGCGATGGAACCAGCAAACTATGTTGAGGGTAGGTTCATCTTGAAAACCCCGTGCACTCCAGCAGAACGCTTCTGCTTCACATTGCGGCACAGTGGGGTTGGAGCGGCTGCTGTTCTGATGCTACGAAACACGGCACTGTTGCTCCTTGTTCTCGCTTTCGGCCAGGAGGTCCTTGCCGAAGCAAATAAACGACCCTATGCAGGTACCCAGGCATTCTGAGCGCAGATCCAGCGAGCAGTTCGCCCTGGTCCTTGATGTCTGGAGAGGAGTCCAGAGCAAACCTGAGATCATCGAAAGTTTTCCCCAGAGCTCGTTAAACTCAGACAAGTCCTACCGAGTCCTACGATGAAGCTCTGCTCCACCGGCTATGTGACATGAGCTTAAAGCTTCGAGAAGACAGCCAACGAGCTGCAGCTTAGACAGCCCAGCTGCATGGCAAAGTTGTGGCGGCCACGTCGAACAAGGCTTGTAAGGCCTTGGGCACGGGAGCGTTGTAAGAGGTGGAGCAAATTGAGTTAGCAACTCGTAAAGCTGGTAACTAGGGCATCAGCCGAAACCGAGGCAGTCGTCGAACATCGAGAGCTGGACTCCGTTATAGCAGCCTCCTGCAACATCTGCTCTCTTATCTTCAGTCGTCTCGTGCTGAACCAAAAGCCCAGGCCCTCTTAGCGCCTGGCCTACCGTGCAATGAACCACCACGGAGTCGCCGGTAGCATTGAGGAACGGGCGTTCGAGCGACGCTAGTTGCGTGAGGAGTTGTCCCTGGCCCCCAAGTCTACTGAGACCGGCTTTGGTGGAAACAACGGTCCAAACCCACTCTCTGCCTCGTAGGATAAGCTGAACTTTGCAGAGGGTCCAAATGCCGCTGAGGTCAAGTCATAGATGTCCTGCACTTCGACGATTCGGCTAGGCCGCGGGCTCAAGCCCCTAGCTTCTTTAAAACGATGCCATCGCAATCACTGAAGAACCACAGTACTTGCATCATTGACAGTCAGCGAGAATCATGACCGTGCTGCCATGCTCCCGATTGTCCTCTGTACAGATGCACACTGGGAGCCGAAGCTCACACAGCGATTTCCCGCTAAGCGTGACCACGCTCACATTGATGAGAGGGGCGTCCTTGCTTCCAGCTCACCGAAAGGAAGAGTCAACTCATGTTGGTCGCAATCAATACTGCGATGATGCCTTCACAGACGCCTTGCTCGCTGCAAACAGCCCTGATGAGCAGGCAATTCCTCGAAGAGAGTGGCCATCCGCAGGGCACCGGGCGGACGTGGTGTTTAGTTGACCACGGTCGATGGTCTGGTAGCGACACTCATGGTACAAGTATATGGATACGGTTCAACTGCATGCCTGTACCTTGCCTGAAGCTGAATGTGCAAGTAGAGCCGAGCGGCAACTGAGAGTAATTCCTACGCGTCCTACACTGTGAAGCTGCACAGTAGCCTACGGCTGATCCCATGTGTCGTTGACTCCTGCAATACGGGCACTGCTTCAAGCTACTGCCACGCAGACGCCACCATGAACAGCCAATGGAACCGAACCTCCATACACCAGCCACAGCTCTGGCAATGCTTGACCTCAGTGCTCCTAGGAGCCCTACTAGTACATGATAATTTATGACTGTCTCTGCAAAGAAGTCTGTTCAGGAATTGCGGCACGCCCAGTGGTAGGTGCCTGTGCATGATCGCAGCCAAGCTGCGCGTGCATGTGATACATGAGTACCGCAGTCGTCGCACTGCCGCGACCTCGGGCAGCGAAGACCAAAATGAGCACGGAGGAACAAGGAAGTCTGTTGACATCTCTGTTTTGCGAGAGCTGACTGCACAAGCCACAGAGCTGAGACAGCTAAGAATCCAGCTCGCTGCCCGAGTAACTGTCCGGCATGCCTGGCAGAGCCTGGGGACTTCGAACAGGACGCGAGCCGACGCAGGATGTGCAGCTGGAGCCTCAACGTAGCGGCAATCCACATTGAGAATCCAACCTTGGCCGCCCCAAAGAGCAAAAAAGAAGTCCTCGTGTTGCTCATGATGCTGGCTTCAGGGGTCGCAGCGCTTTCGATGGTGCCGCTGATGCTGTCCATGCACGAATGACGCGAATCATTGTCATGATGCCAGCCCATGCCGGCACCGTGGGTTCTCGGGGTCACGAGAGCATGTTCAGCCACCTGTTCTGCAGCCCATGGCTACTGCTTGCGGTCAAGAGCACCATACAGCGACAGATCGGCAACGAAGATGAACCAGAAAATGGCAACCTGGCTGCAGCACTGCTGCTCTGAGTTTTGGGACGGTTGGAGGTCGGATCACGACCATCGGCTGTTAGACGAATGTCGCGACAGTTTGAGTTTTTGTAGGCTTCGTACGGAAGATGTATGAGCTAAATGTGCATGATCATGATGCACAGAGGCAGATGCTTACTGAGTCCGGAGCACAATCCTCTGCAGCAATGCATGCCTCCCAGTCCTAGCATCTCGCCACAGAACCTTTCGAAATAAACAATTTCTGCAGCTGTACGTTGTGCGTAAATTCAAAGCCAATGCGCAATGAAACCATCGGGCCTGCACAAAGGAGCAACTGGCGTAAAAGGACTTCTCGCCAAGGCACATCTTGTGCTCACCATCAAAGATACGAGCTGCTTTTGACAGGCACAACAGGCAGGAAGTCAGATCTTAAAACGCTCAACCGCACCAACGTCAACTTGAGCTCAAAATGCCAGGAACAATTATTTGAAAAGGCTTAATTGCACTTTCGCCGAAAGCGGCATAATGACCGTTGTAGCCGTCTCAATACACTTCGATAAGCCAACCGCCTCGGGGACTGTCAACTCTTCTTCTAGTCACCGGGCGCGGAATTAGCTGGAGAGAAGCGCAGTTGATTCAGGGTATCTGAATCCAAGACTCAGAGCGAGATGCTGTATTACATTATGGACGCACATGGCCATAACGTGAATTTCAGTTCCATTGTCAGAAAGCATGAGGAATCTCGGGTAAGATCCATCCCTTCAGCAAACCGGCTCGAGATTCGGGAAACTCTTTATTGAATTGCCCAAGAACATGATTTCAACATTACCCGGTGTCCTCCCCATGCCTGAAACCGACATTCGAAAGAATCACAAGTGAAACTTCATAGACACGAGAACCCGTTTGGCTAAAGGTCAAAGGAGTTCAGAGTCCGTTCTCTCTGGCATTTTTCACTGCTGCATGCATCCTCCAGTCTTGAGGTCTCCAATACAAGTAGCCAGGAAAATTCCGCTACCGGTTTGGAGCTGAAGTTTCACCGGTTTACGGGTCTAGGGTCTGTGGGTTTAGGCCTGAGGGTTGAGGCATGAGGGTGTAGGGTTTAGGGTTTGGTCTTTGGCTCCAGGGTTTAAAGGAGGCCACTGTGCTCAGCTGACGCTCAAGACAGCGGCGGCCCACTATGCACTTCTGAGCATCAATGCCACCTCAGGCTGAGTCCCGGAGGCTCTTGTGTATTATGTCGTATCGTGTATATTGTGTAGTATCTTATAGTATACGACACCACTCCGACGACGGTCGACTGAAACCACAGTCTGCTTCAAACAACTCGCAGAATCCACTGCTGCGTGAAGTCCAGAACCCATCCGGAACATGGAACAGGCCGAAAAAATCCCAAAACCTGCAACACAGCGGCCTTAATTTCGGCCTTAATGATTGGAATAGGGTTTCGCGGCCCATTATACTGGAATTCTAATAACGAACCCCCAAAGTAGTATAGGCCATATTTTGCATGCCCCTATAGTATCACAGCAACCTGCTCCCAGCTTCAAAGAATCACCTGAAACAGCCAAGCGTTCCCAAAAATTCCCACCGAGCACTGGACCATGCGCCGGTAGGTGACCACGTCCCTCTCAAGCTTCTCTGAAAACATACTGTCTAGCATGGCCAGACCACGCTCCCACTGGAGAGCTCTCCTGAGGTCAAACACCAACGAACATCCGAGAGGTACAGCACCCTGAAATCAGAAGCAGAAACTCCGCAAGAGAGTCTTGCCTTGCCGTTTGGCTCAGTGGCGTTCTTGAAGGTTGAACAGAAGCCGAGAATTGATCATAGCTACCCGTTCGCATCTAGCTGGCACAACAAACAGGAGTCTTGACAAAGGCTGCTGTTTCGTCTGCCAAAGGTTCGCACAGGCATCCAAGACCGTGTCGTGGGAGACTGTGCTCACTTCCAGCCCCGACTGCTGGAACCCGTCGAGGAGTCGCAGCGCAGTCTGCCAGTACCTCAGATTGCCGACCAAACGTAATTAACAGAATAAGGCCTGAAAGCTGCTCTGCAACTTCTTCCCAAAACCCTCGCACATTTGCAAGGCCCTCTTCAAGCCAAAGTAAGAACCTTACTAGAAAACCTATACGCAACCATTGCAGCAGCTGCGTCGAAATGCCGCGGAGGCACGCAGCACTTGCGCAAGCACTCAAAACAATATTGCGCAACATCACCGTCACATTGATTCCTTGTTCCTCCATGTCGGCAAGGATGTGCCTTAGGCGTAGAATGTTACACTGTTTCCCTCCGTTCATACAATAACAATATATATATATACATATATATATATACATATATATACATATTCATTTACAAAAACACATTCTGTTAATTGTATATAATTATACACAACACTATGTGGCTGCATTGCTATGTTATGTCTATGTCTCGTTGGTGCAATTACCCCTTCTCTCAGGGCTTCACCATTGGGCCATACAAAGCTACTTGCTGCTGCTCCTGCGCCACGCGACAACCCAGTCTCCCAAAGGTTGGCCCTTGCCGTAGCCTGCATCATGGCGACGTAGGAGAAGCCTCAAACGCCGCTAAGCGGGGAAGACCACATGGCAGTTCCTTCTACTTACAAGCTGTTGATGATGATCATGACCATGACCATGGTCTGTGCCGGTGCCCGTGCCGGTGCTGGTGATGATGATGATGATGATGGCGGCGATGTGATGATGATGATGATGACAAGGATGATGACTTACTTGTGCGTCTGCTTTTGTTGCTGCTGTTGCTGTATCTGTTGCAGCTGCTGCTCGCTGTACTGCTGGTTGCTCTGTGGTCCTACGGTTGATGATATAAATCCTGCATGACCCATTATAAGGACTATACCATAATTCCCATAGTTTAGGGTCCTTAAGGTCATGCAGGATTTTATCATCAACCGTAGTAGTGGCTATTGCTGCTAGCTGTTGGTACCGCGAGCTGTTCTTGCTGGGATTTGAGTCGTCGCTTTGGCGGTGTTGCTGGAGTTGTAGTTGCGGCTGCTGTTGCTGTGCTGTAAAGTGTACATCTGCTCAAACAGACTCGATCGAATGACTGCAGTTCAGGGGCTGCTTTCTACATAGGCGCGATAGATGCCGCGAATCCCCGCTGAGACTTGTGTTGATTTGCAAGAAACACAATTGCCAACACCAGGGTGCAGGCAAGCAACCGCTTGCCTCGAGCATCGCATCTCGGAGTTGGCTAAGCACTTGCAGTGCTCCCTGCCACTCCCCACCGTTCGCACACGCATCGAGCAGCGTGTTAAAGGTGATCAAGTTTGTCTGTAAGCTTGTCTCTTGCATTCGTGAAAATAGCGTCACCGCTTCTTGCCACCGTAACCCCCTGCTGCAGCCCTGCATGGCGCTTGTGCATACCACCGAGCTAGGCTGCAAGTGATCCATCTCGAGCTGGTTCAGCAAGCCCAATGCACTCGCACCCGACACCTCCATTACCGTGGCATAAGTGAACTCATCCGGCTGGAGTGACTGCTCAGGCAGGCGCTCGAATAGAGCCATAGCTTTCGATGGCTCCAAACCGACCCCACATGCACTCATGACTGCATTGTAGGTCAGAAGACTGACCCTGCCCGGATGATTCTGGCCATCTGCCAACAGCTGCATTGCTACGTGCCACTGGCCACCCTTGCCACATGCACTGATTGCTGCATTCCGAAGAGATTCCTCGAGGTCAACTAGACCAGCTTCAAACAGCAGCTCTAGTCCCCTTTGCCAGCAGCTGTCTTCGGCACAAGCTCGAACGCATGACGCATACGCGATCTGGTCTGGCTCTGTGGTCGTAGCCCGCAAATCCCAAAGCAAAGTCAAAGCCCTTTGCCACTGTCCAGCAGGTTGCATGGCGCCCATAGCAATATTGAAGCTTATTGCATCCCTCTTCACCTGCATCTGATCCATCTGCCCAAAAATCTCCAGCGCGAGCTGCCAATCACCAGCCTCGGAGCAAGCTCGCATTGCTGCTCCGAACGTTATGGCATCCATCTTCACCTGCTTGTCACTCATCGACGCAAAGAGTAGCAGGCCCCTCTCCCACTGAGAAGCCGCAGAGCAAGCAGACATGGCAGCATTGTGTACACTTGTATTTGCTCCGGCCACCTGTCGATGAAGCACGTGCAGAGCCTGCTCCCATTCGCCTGTCCTCAGGGACACAAATAACAAAAGATGGGTTCTACTGTTGGGTGAAGATAATCAACGAGAAACTTGCCGGGCCTGCCCATTGCTGTTATGGCCATTCTAAGCATGGCATCGTCGCCGTCTAACCTATCAACGTGTGATAAGAACGACAATGCTGGTGGGCCAGCATTCTCGCAGGTTTTCACAAAGCTGGACCACAAGAGGGTATCCGGAACCAGCCGATGATGGACCAGGCCGTCCAGCAAAAGCACTGCCTGCTGCCACTCAGCCTCCCTCTCCAAGGCACCCATCCAGGTCATGTACATTAGCATGTCTGGCTGACCGCCAGGGTCATCTAAGTCGGAGTCATTATGGCCGAGAGACAAAGCTCGCTGCCACAGAAGGCTTCGGGCACATGCAGATATGGCTTTGGTTTGCACGATGACGGAGCCTCGTACTTCTGCCTCTGGCATCCGCAACACATACAGTGCACCTTGCCAGGCGGCTTGTGATGCGCATGTGCTTATGGCCTGGCCGCAGGTCAAAGCAGGGCATTCCAGCCGTCTGCTCGTCAAGTCGCCGACAAGCCTGGTCAGACTAAATACGAACCAAGCGTCGTGCTGCAAACGAGTTACACGGCAAAACGAGAAAATACTGAACAGCAAATTCTACCGACAGGACCAAGTGTCTGAAGTGCCTCAAGCCACAGACTACCCAGCTCGGCAGCACTCACAGCAAGTTGCAGCGTGGTGGCATCTTCATGCAGCCGCTGTCGCAGCAGCATCCGACTCAATTCTAAGGCCTGCTCCCAGCGCCCACACTGATTGCATGAAGCCATGGCAATGTTGCAGCCCAATAGATCGGGACCCTCATGCTGCTCCCGCGCCATGGAGAGCAAACCCAGAGCTTGCAACCACTGCCTCTGCCTCGCACAGGCACCTATCAACGCATTGTAAGTGCTGCTGTAGCTCCGGACCTGCTTCTTTGTGTTCGTGCATAGCACCTGAAGAGCCTGCTCCCACGCATCGCTTTTTGCACAGGCATAGGCGGCCCTGTTGTATGCCACGGCTGCATCTCCACCGGCGCCTCTCAAGCTTTTTTGAAACAACCACTGCACGTCTCGGCAAGCGCAGCTGCACGTGCTGACTCAAAGGTTCTTCTCTATCCTAGCCACCTAAGTCAGAGTCTGCCGAAAGCTTCCAAGACGAGCCGAGCCCCCCTACGCCCCCCAGGACCAAAGCTACAACCTGGAAGAAGCTGCTCTGATACAGTTCACGCCTTCTGGGAGCCTGGACAGCAACTCCACTGCTTGTGGCCACTGACTTCCCATCTCGCACGCCTGAAGACTGGATAGCAGCAAGCGTTTTGGAAAAAGCTTCCTACTAAGTACATCTCGAAAGACAGGCACTGCATGCACTATTCGATACTCGTGCTGCGTGCTTCGGAGCGACACTAACCACGACGCCGAGTGTGAAGGCATCCGGCTGGAACCGGCTTACCTGCAAATCCTCGAAGAGCTCCATGGCACTGTGCCAAGTACTTGCCTCCTTGCAGGCATTGATCGCAGCATTGTAAGTCACCAGGTCGGGCTGTGCAGAGGCCACGACATCAGAGAGCAATCCAAGGGCCACCTGCCACTCTGCTGCCGCCGCACAGGCGCCCATGGCCATGTTGCAGGTTACCACGTTCAAGTGCAGCCTGAAGCTCTCGGCTTCCGACAGCAATGCCACGGCGGGCCTCCACTGCTGTCCCCTGGCACACGCACCCACGAGCGCACCGTAGGTGATGGCATCCACGTGTTTGCGTTCTGACTTCGCATTCTCCAGGAGACTGAGGCCTTGCTGCCAGAGCCCTTCAGCCTGAAGCCAACGCACCTCCGATCTGCCAAAGCTGCCAAGCATCTCCTAAAGGATCCGATCAAACGGAGAATTCTCGAGCCAAGCTGAAGCGTTTGTTTTGAAGCATGCACCGGCGAAACCCCGCGCCTAGACCCCCGGGCTCTCACTTCCGGGATTTGAAAAACACGCCTTGCACTCGCACTTTGTGGTATCGCGACGGTTCAGGCTAAGGGAAGGATAGAATGCTGGAGTCAACCATGCTAAGCTGCTAATCTGCTAGGTGTCTTCTCAATTTAGCCGGATGAAACCAGCCCTCAAGGCCGACAAGGAAGCAGAAAGAAGGCCCTCATGAATTTCAGCCGGCTGCACCATGACCGGGCCCCAGGTATCGGCCCCGCCGCTGCACCACGCCGGGACCACCAATCCCTCTGCGAGCGATTCTAAAGCCGAGTGCAGCGATTCTGAGGGCTCTCGAAAAGTTTAGGGTTTTCGTTTTAGTTCAGGGTTAAGGGTGTGGGGCTAGGGTTAGGGTTTAGGGATTCGCTGCACTTTGCCGGTTCCCCGACATTTCTTAGCGTCGCGCAGCGAAGCATCCAATGCAGTAGAAAGTGGCCTCGGACGCATTGCTCGGTTGCTTCCGACAAGGCACGGTGTCCGAACAAGGACTCACTCATGAATTCTGCAAGCATTAGAGTCATTAGAGCAAGTTCGAAGAGTTTGAGGGCCCCGGCCAGGTGGCTCAGGACCTGAACGGTACTCAACGGCCTCCGGCGCAGCCTCGTTCTGCGATTGCTCAGAGCTCGACATCTCTGGTGTAGCTAGTCACGACTACATAGAGTGGTGACAGTAGCAAGCCGCAGCTTCAGCAGCATATTGTCTCAAGATGTCCAGACTGATCTTGACCACAGAGAGCAGCTTCCTGCAACACCTCTAATCGGACCTGAGAAGACCAAGAATCAGGCACAGACAGCTGGGACCTTGCACGCTTGGAGTATGCCGGCATGGCTGGCTCAGAAACCTATGGTGGCATAGGCACTGCCAAACGCTGGCCGACAGGTCATGTTTGGTTACATGCTGATGGCCTTGGCCCGCCGCCAAAGCCACGAACGTGCGCCACTGTTCACTACTCCGTATCGCCGCATATCACAGCAATGCAAGTGTATGCGCTAGAGTGTTGGGCCTTCACCACCCTTAGCCTAAGCTTTGGGTCTGTCGCCGTGGAGCCACTTTGCCGGTCCCCACTACTTGGGGGGGTATTCACAACTTTCTGAGCTGCAGTGCTTTGTTAGGTTGATGGAATTTGTGCCAGCAGCCTGAAGCATAGGCAACCTTGTTGAGGTAGAGTTGACATGGGCCATGAGGATGGTCTGCGTGAAGTAAGGGGGCTGCGGAACACACGGATCAAGTGCTCAAAGCCTGCAATCATGCTGCTGATGCCCCTCGCCGGTGGCTCGCAGTTCAACTGAAACCTCCGTCAGTTTCACACTGCTGGGGAGTTGACTGTTCGGCGGGCCTGAGCGTGTCAGGTAGCTGGAGGAATGCGCAGAACGAGACTCCATCCGCGGAGGCGAGCAGCTTGGCCATTGGCTGCCGATACGCTCCATGGAGCTTCCTGCGTCTGTAAAACAGCTGCTCGGAACAGGTTCCTCTTCAACTGGGGCTGTGGGCAACGGGTAACCACAAATGGCGGTGCGCAAGTGGAAGCAGTGTCTTATCTTGCATGGCGAATGCATTCGCGGATGTAACAAGGTTCACAAGAGAGCGTCTGGAGCAGAGGCAACTCCCTGCAACGTAGCTACACGCGATTTCGAAACATCTAAGTCTCCTGCCCCGACTGGGACATGCCATGCTCGAAAGGATTCTTCATCAGTCGCCTCCCGCGACGCCCGGGCTCGGCGGACCCTCGAAGGCGACGATCTCCGAGCTGAATCCCGGAGCCTGCATACCGCCATCAAAAACGCCGTGTGTTCTTCGATACTGCGAAATCGTACAAACTCATGAGTACTGTTGTGCAGCACTTCACTGTGTGACATGGTCCGCTGGAACATGTCTGTACTGGAGAACCCTATATACTATACGAAACCCTGCTGCACTGGATTGCTGTACAGTTGGGTGTTTTTTCTTTGCCTGCATGGACACTGTGATGCTCTATGGTATTGCTTGCTCAAGAAATATGATGCACTAGGCTGTGCTTTGCAACAGATGTAGCTCTTCAGAACTTGCATCACGTTTTCTCATGTGTGATGCAACAGATGTACCAGTTTATTACATCTAACATGTCCCAGCGCCCTTCCACCCAAAAAAGGCTTTGGGGAAGCGCACCGAGCTGGAGCTGGCAGCCGGCCCTCCTGACGAAACTGCGCAGTGCTCTAGAACATCATGCTCAACGTATCAAGTTGCGATTTCGCTGCAACATATCAGACGTCCAACATTACAATAGGTGAACCTGGTTCACCAATATGCTGAACTGAACCAGGAAAACACATCCTTTGCGCGAAAGGCGCACGTTGTGCGCAACTTGGTGCATCGGCCCGACCGAAACGCCAAAGTAGACGAAGTTGCACTCCGTCAAACATTCGATGTCAATTTCCGGACGACTGCACATGCAAGACCACAAGCAACAACCCTCCTAAATCCCAAGCCTATACCCCTAAACCCTGTGCCCCCCACAGTTACAGTAAACCCTAAACGCTAAACTTACCCTTAGACCCTGAATCCAAAACCCCAAACCCTAAACCGCCAACCCTTCCCAAAGCAGTCAAAGCGCCTGCTGCCGAGGGCCATTCCTCGATGTCCTCCCGCCTCCCAGAGCTTCATTGCGATGCTGAGGGAAGATCGATAATGCGAATCGTACTAACAACACGAGTCACTACATAACATATAACACATTACATGCAATACATGGTACGAACAAGAACCAAAAGAAGAAGCAGAAGAAGGGATGCTTCTCTGCAAGAAAGAGCTGTTTCCACGAGCTCTTCAGTCCCGGGTCCTCCTCTGGTAGGCTCGCAAGGTGAAGCCGCTTCGGTACCTCGGAAGACGAACTCCCCAGAACTACTAGTACTAATCTGCTACTACTACTACTACTACTACTACTACTACTACTACTACTACTACTACTACTACTACTACTACTACTACTACTACTACTAATCTGCTACTACTACTACTACTACTACTACTACTACTCAGATCTTCTCAGATGACATGCGCTTCTTCTGAGATCTCGAGACCCTTCGGCAGCAAAGAAGGGCACTTCAAGAAGTAGATTCCGCCTTTGGCCGTCCCGAGCACCGAGTAGGACTGCGAGTCGCAGGCGCAGAAAGCGCCTTGGAGCTCAGGAAGCGGTGGTTGTACTTAATGATGAGAATAGGATTCCTTTAAAGGGGTCTATAAGGGATCTATAAGGGTACCATAATATAGGGGACATAATAAAATTAGGGTCCCTTTTAATGTTTGGGTCCCTATTAAAATACGGCACTCCTATGATTTAGGGTACCCAAAAAAGGGGACATAATTTTGACAACTACCCAAGAAAATTCGTGAGGAAGCTCCGACCGGATTCGGAATCATGACGAAACCACACGCACGGTCGACGAAGTGGGGACTCAGATAAAAAGTGCAAGGGAACCAGAAGAAAATGTCCGAAGCTCTGCACATGGATACTTGTCTAAAACCGTCCTGGAGCAACCACGGCTTTGAGTGCTCGTTCTTTTCGGTACCGCAGAGCTCTCACGGTCTTGATTGAATCCAACGATCAACGATCTGGCACGGCCGCGATGAAGAACATGTCTGTATTTGCGGTTGGCGCACGGCCTGCCTGTGTCATCGTGCGGCCGCCTCTGATTCTGGCGCACTGTCACCAAGCCCGGATCATCTCTACGGAACCACAACCATTTCTGCAATCTGCTGCGTGGCAACAGCACGAAACGGCAAGTGCACATGCAGTGTGCACATGTCGACTGCATCACACAGGCGCTCGACACTTATAGATCCCACTTCACACTGCAGCATGCCAACAGTTCGACGCACTGCGTGGGAACCCCCACAAACCATAACCGGCGTGTGACTGCTCTGGACACGTCGCCCTCAGAGGGCAACCAGGCAACGGTCCCAACAAGCGATCTGCTTGGCCCGGCGTCTGAACTGCTCACCATCCAAGGAGTGAAGCAAACTCCCGATGGACAGGACTCGAAGTCATGCAAGACGAAGCCCATCAAGGGATACAGCAGTCTGACCGCAGCTGACAGCCCGCATCCCAAGTGAGTGTTTCAGTAAGACAACTGGCTGATACGCATTGCCGGCACGGCACCAGCATGAAGGGTCACTGAAGCCCACAAGCAGCGTTGCTGAAGATGTAGTCTCGTTTTACACGAGTGGTTGTGAAATCCTTAGGCGACATTGGCCCGATCCATCCCTTGACCCAAATCACTTTGTAGCCGTAGCCGTCCTCCTCGGACCAGTGGAGCCTCGGCTCTCTTCCCATCCCGTCCCACCATCCCTGCCCAATCTCTCCACTTCGAGGCATCGCTGCTTCCCTTTCAGCCATGCGGCTCCAGCGCTGCTTGCTGGCCATCTGGCAGCGTGCCACAGGCAAAGAGCCGATGCCACTGCCTGCAGCACTCGGTCAGACAAACCCGTCCTCCCCAGCCACCAGGCAGTGGAAGCCTCAAGCCTACCAATGCCAGTTGAGGCGTGGGCGTGTAGAGATCGCCACCCGGGGCAGATGTTCGGAAGGTGCTTTCATCCCACGCCTCCTGTTGACCAAAGGGCATTGCTGGCACGAGTTTGCGCGGAACTCAAATCTCGAGGTGACGTCTTGGTGTAGAGGCTAAGAATTGACTGTATTAACGTCGCAGATGTCGAGCCCCACACAAACTGCTTCAGAGCAGCCACGGCTTTGAGTCAAGGCTCATTGTTTAAAACTCCTGGGCCCCCGAAATCCGAAAGCACCCGAATCGACCAAGTCTCCTACCAAGTCTCCTTGACTACCACGTCACTGGCTTCAGAAAGGGCGGCCAGGGCCTCCCAGCGTTGCATCTTCTTCGGTGCGCCTGGGCTCATCATGCTCATCCCATCTGTTAGACCTGGCCTATGTAAGCTGCATTTTGTTAAAACCGCCTCTGCCGGAACAACTCGGACGGAGATGGGCTTTCTCTCAATCTAGATCAGAGGTTACCACGGCCGACTGCTAAAGTTGGCTTCTTCCCCCTTGCCCCTAGCCAATGCATGGAAGCGGCTCTCGGCTGCCCGGGACCACTCGGCTTGGACGTCCTAGGCAAGCGGGAGCTGAAATCCTGAAACCTGCTAAATGCTACATCGGTCACGATGCCAAACCTGGTGAGCGCTTGAAACGAGATCAAACGAGATGAGAATCCCTTGCAGGGAAGCGGGAATTTGCGAGATGGCACCGAACATCTTGAGCACAACCTCCCAAAATACCGATCACACTCGTAACTCCGACGCATACTCGTAATTCAGGTAGCGTATCTATGTAGTTCCACACAAAAAAGCTTCAATACGAACCCTCAACAACAAACGAAGCCAAAAACCCTTAAGGGAGGAGCCTCAAAAAGCAAAACAAGGCTTCATATAATAGCAGTGATATACCAGAATGAATATTCAGAACCTCGATAATAACTACGATGACTGTAATGTAAGTCCATAGTATCACTATGGACTCTATGATAACTCGGCCGAGGCCTCCCCGGTGAGCGCCCTTTGGCCAGCGGTCTCCCGCCCATGGTCTCGGCGAGTTTTTCCCATGGATCGCAACGCCCCAGCTCTGGCTGCTTTTTCTGAGAATTCCGAGAGCCCGTGCTTCGTCGATTCGAGCGTTGGCAGATATGGGCAGCGATGTGACAAGGCAGACTGGTCGAGGGCTTGAAATGGTCTGATCCCACTGCTAAAGCCAATACAGCAGCACCAAACAAGGCAACAGCAGAAGCTAAGAGGGTAGAACGCGGCCGACAACTGTGATGGCCAGAGCCCTGGCAACTGGCAAGCAAGCCAGCCCTTTCTCAGCTAGCTCCGGATCAGGGACGAAACGCACGCAGCTTGAGGCTGAGACTTGTCGGGCCCTTGCTGAGATGAGCTTCCGGCTGATTGTGTCCCCTTCGGGCGCATTGAAGAGTGCTTTAGACCTGGCAAAAGCCCACATACACACTTTCTAGCCGTAGCCTGTGAAGTCACAGATCGGAAACCATGACGAGGCCCACTGGCTCGGACAAATGCGGCTATGCAGTCGAACCTGAACAACGGCGAGGCATTTGCGACTCCTTGTGCCCCAACCACGAACGATGCAACTCTTGGAGGAAACCATCTGGGTCCGGTCTTTTTCTGCAGCTTTCATTGCTTCCTGCAGCTTTACGAACTCCATCGCGCAGGCCCGCTGGTGAGCGCTGACGTAGTCCTCTCGACCAGGGTCCAGGGTCCAAAGACTCTCAGCACCCCTCTACCACAATTACCCCACACCAGCAACCCTAAACCCTAAACCCTGAAACCCTGAAACCCTAAACCCTGAAACCCTGAAACCCTAAACCTTAAACTCTAAACCCTAAACCCTAAACCCTGAAACCCTAAACCCTTAAACCCGGAAACCCTAAACCCTGCAACCCTGAAACCCTGAACCCTGAAACCCTGAAACCCTGAAACCCTAAAACCCTAAAACCCTAAACCCTGAAACCCTAAACCCTGAAACCCTAAACCCTGAAACCCTGAAACCCTAAACCCTGAAACCCTGAAACCCTAAACCCTGAAACCCTAAACCCTCAAACCCTAAACCCTCTTCCTTGAGGATCGTGTCAGCTTCCGGGCTGCGCGGGAACTCTGCAAGCCTCGGTCTTCATGCGCAGCTCCCCAGTCGAAGATTGACGCATGTAGTATATAGTACATCATACAGTCTATACAGTGTATAGGCTGTCTGTTATAGAAGTATATAGACAGACAGACAGACAGACAGACAGAGATAGAGTATTCTGGGCTTCTCAAGACCTCTCAGCGAGGTATCCGAGGCGCGAATCGAGACCACAGCCAGCCAGCGCAGAGCCCCATGGAGCAGCGCCCTCAGCCATGACCTTGGCGGTCTGAGTCTGCCATCGCATGGAGAAGTCTCTACTTGCTCGGCCGTAGTCTTTATCTTCGCCTTTCTAGGCTCGAGACAAGTTGATGTACTGCGGATGCGCTGCCTGGCTATCAGAGTCTGAGTGCCACATTGAACACTGCAGAAAGTGCTGAAATTGTCTGCCTCGAATGTGTACCCAGACTCCGCGCTCGAGCTCAAGCTTCAGCTGTTGGAACCCCCAGCCAGAGAAGCCCTGACAGAGTCAGCACGGAAAACACGCAAACTTCTGCCAGAAGCGGGCCTTGATGATCTTCATCATCCCTTTGGGGCTCTCCTTCGCGCGTTCCGCAGTGGCGGCGAGGTCGCCGCCAACAGCGAGGCCCTGGTGGAGCCTGGCTTTGAGGACGAGGGCTGGCTGGGGCAGAATCTCTCTCCGCTCCTTTCAGACTTCACCCTAAGTCCCACACACCTTTGCACCAGGCACATCTTCGTAGCCTGGAATGCCATCATCACAATGGTCTGCCGCTTTTCAAGTCAACGCACTTCTCTCGATGCCAGTGCTGTTGCGACTCCAACCATACACTACCTGCTGTTGCAACTGCACGGGTCCTGGCAGCGATCTTAATTGCCGCCAATGAAACTGTGAAGCCAAAGCATGTTCTCATCGAGGCTATCGGCAGTAACGGGTCCACCTGTTGGGGGCAGGTCGGACAGAGACAACATTCTGAGCCTGCCCTGCCTTTGTAGACCTTCTCCTCCAGCAAAGGCTGCAACGGTCCAAATGCCAACGCATTCCAGTCTGTGCCGCGAGTATCCGGCCTTGGATTGTCAGTGTCAGGTCCCAGGAAGATTACCAATCGTTACGCACCCATCGTCGTAGAGTATGAAGCAAACAGCCAAATCGACACAAGCGCCTCGACAGCAAGTTGGTGGGCTTCTCCACAAGGGTTTGAGAGATCGTCTCCTCTGCCTCCTGACAAGCCAGCCATTGCCAAATAGTCAAAGACGCCAACCCTACTCCCATGCTGAAGAAAGCGATGCCAAGTAAACCCCACGTAGCAAAGCAAGCGGCTTTGGGGAGCGTGTGAGCTCAACATGCATGGCTCATGCCTCTAGCTGATAACCTGCATGCATGCATTCATCTCGGTACGTAAGCATTAAGCATGTATGTATGCATGCATGCCTGCGGGTATGTAGGTATGTATGTGTGACAAAACCCAATAAACACGAGGGATCACAGAAGTCGCAGACAACATCGCTTGGGTTTGACGGGTGATGCAGGGGCTGGGAGTGCATGTGAACTGGTCTTCCATTCACGAAGACAAGTGTAAATGCACCTTTGAGCATTACCTGGGCGCCTTTGTGAATAACTGGTATGCCGACTTGTGGACACTTGTTGACACTTGTTGCAGTTGCTGTGACAGCTTGTCGTGGATGGGGGCCGGGCTCAAGACTGGGCACAGTCAATCAATGGTAGCAGAGCCAGCCCCGACAACGACATGACCAGACCGTTCTTGGTCAGGCGCGATTGAACTGTCACAGGGCCTGGACCCCATCCCAGGACGAGTAGATAAAAGGCAAAGTCATCCACCGATTGACCTATCCTTTGAAGATGCGAGAAACCGGTTGGAAAACTACCGCGTGTATGTAGAGTAACCATATCTACAAAACTATGTGTAATGCAACATATATGTACATCTCGATCTATGTGCTCATTTGTTTATATTGACCTGATGTGTGTGTATTTCGGTGAACGTTCCTTGGGCTATTCGTTTTTCTGTTTGTGTTATTCTGCTGTACATGCGACAAACCTGCATTCACATGTCCACTTTTCTTTGGTGTTTCTGTTTGCAAACCTTTGTAGGTACATGCTTTGACCCATGGATTTTTCTTGTTTTCATGCTCCTTTCGTTTTTAAGTTTGCAGGGGGCGCGAGGTCCTTTGACAAAGCTCACGCCAACGAAGCTCTTTGTCATATGGACAGGTAAACGTACCTGCGACCAGTTCCTGGGTGCAAGAGCGCAGCTGGATTGGTCACATTTGAAACCATCATATTGATTTTCGCAGTTGTTCAAAACTTTTTACCTTACTTTGCTTTCTGAAAACTCGGACATGTCTCTCGAAGCTTTGTACGGTTGCTGCAATCTGTCTGTGCATAATCATGAGAGTCTCTGCATTGGACGATCAGAACATCCAGAAGGCGGGTCAGTGGGAGCCTTTCCAGTTGTGTTCGGCAAGAGCTCCCTCACGAGGGCCTTGTCGCTATTCGGCGAAGTTGCCGGCCCACCGGGGTTCTTGTGTTAGCAGCTCCGGAAATCAATTCCGTTTCACAACATGTTCAAGTGGAGATCACTGAGTGGAAATCACATTTCTGGAAATCAGATCGGAGTCGCATTCCGGAGTTGCTTCTGGAGATCATTCCGGCTTGAGCTTTGCAGTCAGTTGCTGTTCTCATATCCCGCCATGGATCGTGAACGCTCCCCCCGCCGCAACCCCTTCTGGAGCTCCTCCTTGCCTGCTTTGGTCCCACCTAATGTCGTTTACCGATTAAGATACCCCCCCAGATTAGACGGGGCGGTCCCGGGCATTTCATGGGCTTAATGAAGAGGTCCATTAGACCCCACCCCTATAGTACCGGAGCTCATTTAAACCCCCCCCCGATTAGACGGGGCCATCCCCGAAAATCCCCGAAATAAGGATTTAGGGGATTTAGAGGCTTATGACTTAACCCTAAACCCCAAACCCTGAAGCCTAAACCGTAAAGAACTCATGATGGCAGACTTTTCCTCATTGGACCAGCTCATGTCCAGCAGAGCTAAGCTTGTACTTAGGGGCAATGTTCCTGCCCAATCTGCGGGCTTCCCTCCTCATCCAGTATGCGAGGAGCTTACCCTCATCGCAGCTCAGGCAGCCTGAGGCATGCCGGCAGCGGCTGCAGACTCCAATCTCATGGAGTTCGATTCGATTTCTCTCATCCCAGTATGCCTGGGGCATGTCCTCGATCTCAAGGACTTTGCCTTGGCTAATGACCTCATGGGCCATCTTCTGAAGCGCAGTCAGCTCAAGGCCTTTGCTCATGCGTTTCTCAGCCATGGCCGCCATGTGCTCTCGCTCTTTTCTCATCCTGGGAAGCCCAGGAAGAAAAGGGTCCCTGTATGTCTAAGACTAATTACAAAAGGGAAAATGGGCCTAAATACTAAAGGTCCGAGTATCTTGATTCCCAAGGCCTCCTCCTTCTTCTTATGCTGTTTCAGCTCATCCAGTCGCTTGGTCTGCTCAGTGCGGAGAGCATTTGTGACCTTATGCAGCCGCTCATGCCACTTCTTCGCCGAATGCGAAGGCCACCCAGTGCTGGCCTTTCCAAACCCCATGGCCTTTGCGGCCTCTTGCTCCATGGCAGCCAGAACATGCAATCCGCACTCATCGACTCCCTGGAAGACCTTGTTCCTGCGAGGAGGCAGCACCGCCTCATGCACCAGGCCCATGGAGAGCAGGGATGCCAAGATTTTCTCAGCGTAGTCCCTGCATCGCTGGGACTCATCCGGCAGGGAGTCATAGTACCTCAGGGCTGGCTCTGCGTGCGAATGCGAAATAAGGAGTCCCCATGCACAACTCTACCTTATAATAGGGAAAAGGAGGAAAAAGCATGGTGTGCCTCACTTTGGGAGTCTCAGACTCATGTGTCGCATCTATGACGAGCAAAACCCAGTGCCCAGCAGACCCCAGGGGGAGGAAGTTCAGTGTATGAGCACTCATCTGCTTTTTGATGCACTCAATGAATGCATCCACATCCACTTTGGCATTGTCATGATGCAGATATAGTGGCTGTGTCCATCCAGGACTAATGAAGCCCATGCTCTTGCAGGGCATTGAGCTCTGGAGCATGTGCCAAAGCAGGACTCGCCAGCCCAAATGCAGCTGTTGCAGCTCTATGCCGCCGGCCTCAATGGCTGGGTATGGGAGGATGTGAACCTGCTCAAGCCCATCCAGCTGATCCAGGTCCTGGCTCAAGAGCCCCATGTCAAGCAGCATTTCCTGCTTCCAGGCCCGGTAGAAGGACATCTGGGCCCACTTCCACACCTTATGCTCACCCTCTGGCAATCGCTCACAATGGCTCTTGCTGACCCATGCCTTCTGCTGCTTGGGGAAGAAATGGTCCTTCTCCAGCAGCATGTGGCAGTTCTGAC